TAATTGTTATAAATGTCCTCTAAATAATAAAGTAAATGAAATAAATAAGATTTAAATGTTCTTAAATAATCCTAAAAAACAGTCGTGTGCAGCGGCTGCAGCTCCATGCTCCTCCTCTCCTTCTCTGCGGTCTTTGCACATCGCATGTTCGTGCTGCACCAAACCACATTTTAGATTTCTTTAAATGAACTGTCAGAGCTGCACTGTGGGAGTTGTAAGTATTATTTCAAGTTAAGTTATGGTTTTTAGAGACAATTGCAGTTGGTAAAGCAATTTAGCTTTAGTCTCCGCTTGCATCAGGCCACCAATTTAACCAGGCAGTTCAGAGGTAGGCGGTTTGATTTTACACCAGACTAGCTTGCTAGCTGCTACTTAATATTGTGTTATTGCCTAAATTAGACTGGCTGTATTTAGATGTTTTAATGGTGGATTAATTTCACAACAGTGACAAACAATGCCACAGCTTGGGGCAAACATGATGTGAATGCTACTCTGCAGGTTGCTTGATTTGCATGCGTTAAGCGGGATTTATAGTTGTGCAGCAGGTCTTACAACGTTGGATACGCACATGGCCTGCGCCATTGTGAGCATTTATACTTGTGCAGTGGTGTGTCGGTGTCACTCTGCAGTTAAGCCTGATCTATGGTCCTGCGTTAAATCAACTACGTACCTACGTTGTAGGGTACGTGGCTACGCAGGAGGCTCGCCGTAGACCCTGGTGTAGCCTGACGTGCACCTCCCAAAAAATGTAACTACACGTCGAGGCGACGCAGACCCAGCGCAGACCGAGAGGGCTGTGATTGGTTTGCTTGGTAGCAACGCATTTCCGGTTCTGTATTTCCAGATTGCACCATCCCCGCCATCTTTAAACATCTTCTGTTGCAATGTAGATGTTGCAGTATTAACATACTTTCTTCGACATCCAACAACTCCAACTCCAGCAAGATTCTCTCTCTCTCTCAGTCGCCATTGTTCACTGTGACCGGAAAAGCCGGAAGCTAAACAAAGAATCAACTAGAGATGACGATAACCATTCAGGAAAGGAACACAACCCCGGTGTATTGCACCGCGATGAAATGGAGTGACGGAGAAGATCGAAGGGTTCACAACGGCGTCACGGCAACGGCGTCATGGCAACGGCGTCACGGCAACGACGTAGGTACAACGTAGGTACGACGTAGGTACAGCGTAGGTACGTCGTAGGTACGCCGCAGGACCATAAATCAGGCTTTACACCTCCAAAACATTAGTCAGTGGCGGGGTTTCTGTGAAGTGCTGTGAAGTTTAGTTGATTCAAAACACATATTAAACATAGCTGAATAGAGACAATTTCAAACACAAGTACACAAATCAGCTTCACTATCACTCACAGCATTCATAGACAAAGCATTTGCTTTTTTGCTGGACACATTTTCCCCACAACTACAACATGCTAACATTATTAGCGCAAGTCTATGGCATTTTACATTGTATAAATTAGCCTAGCGTCCTCTGGATGGTGAGACGCCACCCCTGGTTATTCTAGTCATAGCTACAGGGGGAAGACCAGGCCTGTCTGCTTTGGCTGCCTGTGGTACCATCTTTCGTGCTCGGGCCAGATGCAGGTAAAATGATCCAGCAGAAGGCCCCACCAAGTGCTTCAGCTTTAGTGATGGGATTTCTCGTTCACTTGTGAGAGCCGGTTCTTTGGCTCTCATTCACTTTGAAGAGCTGGTTCAAAGATGCGGTTCGTTTGTTTGTTTTTTTTTGTTGTTGTTTTTTGCTGTGTGTGGACGACGATGAATTGCATTGCTGATTTATCGCATCACGTGATATTGTAATGTGGACCCAGAATAGACTCCACAGATATAAAGTTTGGTGTAGCCATAGCAACGGCCTTTATAAACAACAAGCCTGTCAATACATGCAAGTGCTAGCAGATAGTGGGTTAACTTTAGTGAACGAGCCGAGTCTTTGAACCGGCTATCTGAAGTGAACAAGTGAGCAGCTGCACTGTCTTTCTCCCTCACAAACTAGTCTCTCTCAACTTGTTACGGATCAAATAATCTGAAATGAATGGATACAGAGTAAATTAAAGCAAAAAAACAAAGAAATTAGGAACTGGCTCGTTCACTCTAAAAAGCCGGTTCACTCGTTCACTTCAAAGAGCCGGTTCAAAGACTCGGCTCGTTCGCAAACGTCACATCACTATTCCACTTCACTCAGTCCTGACGGCTCTCGTAACCCAGCCCCTCCTTGCCACCTCTCAGAAAAGCACCTGTCCGGAGAGACCCTTGGGGTGGACCCCTGGGTGTTGTTCTGTGTTTTGAATTTTAAACAGTTGCTGTAGTGCCACCATCAGGACTAGTGATGGGATTTCTCGTTCACTTGTGAGAGCGGGTTCTTTGGCTCTCATTCACTCTCGTTTTTGTTTTTTTGGGGTTTTTTTGCTGTGTGTGGTCGTCGACGAATTGTATTGCTGATTTATCGCATCACGTGATATTGTAATGTGGACCCAGAATAGACTCCACAGATATAAAGTTTGGTGTAGCCATAGCAACGGCCTTTATAAACAACAAGCCTGTCAATACATGCAAGTGCTAGTGGATAGTGGGTTCATTCGTGAACGTCACATCACTAATCAGGACTATTGGCCCCTGATTCATGTTGAAAAAATTTAGCATGGGACTGGACCTTTATGCCAAGCTTGGTTTATTTTCATGCATGGTAAATTAAATTCCTTGGAAGGAGGAGAAGGAGTATATTGGCAAACACAAGAGGGATAGGATTTGTATCCCTGGCTGTGGGACCACACATGTGTCTGTTCCAACGTTACTATGCTTCAATTTTACTTCAGATCATCCATTATAATCTGGGTGAAGATGAGAAAAGTGTATTCTTTCCTACAACAAAATTTACAGGGAGATACATGTTATTTCAGACTGCATTTTCGGTCTGTCACAAACTGTGCCCGGCCTATAACAGGTGATCAATACTATGTTCCTGCAATACCGGAGGCTGCAGTTTCAGGACCCCACTTCTGGGACCGCATTTCTAGGATCCTAGATTTTCGCGTCAGCGCCACCTAACGAATTGGATGACCATAGGCTGCAGTTTCAGGACTGCATTTCTAGGACCATAGTTTTAAAGGTTATTCCACCCAAATATTACTTTGTTTAAGCACTTATAGTTTTAAAGGTTTATTCTACCCAAACCCTAGTTTTAAAGGTTTATTCCACCCAAATACTACTTTGTCTAAGTACTTATATTATTCAACTTAAGCAATTTCTGTAAGTAGCATAATTTACTTATTACTTATTACAAATACAGAATCACATGCTAAGACCTTCACAGTTACTACATCAAAAAACAGATATTTGAATGGTTGGAGAGACGGAAGACACAATATATATGAGTAATGGAAATCATTTATTATTTCAACTTTTCACAACAACATTTTTCACACACACACACACACACACACACACACCAGGGCGAGTGAGAGATTATCTCCTGGTTACATCATCAACTCAAGTGATGATGACTCAGGGGTCCTCTGGAAGCCAATCAGAGTTGGCTGTACAGGTGAGGCTTCCATTCGTAATCCCTCAACATTAAGGATTTATATTGCTTCAGTATTGCCACAAAAATAGAATAACATTGACTGTCTAACAATGCAACTTCTCAACCAAACACACGCTAATTACATCAGCCCTTATTTATCAGGCAAACACATGACCTGCAATTCAACTGTTAAACAGACACGTGGCCATTTCGCCTTAATCACCCCCATCTTACTGAGTAAAATGAAACCTAGCAAGTGTGTGCAATCGAATGGAGAGGTGGGATAGCAGTTCAGTAGTGTAAGAAATGAATCAGGATCAGTAGTTACAAGTCACAAAAAAACACAAAGAAAACTGAATTGTTTATGTCACGAGGCCCAAGAACCCATGGGAACCCATGGAAATACAGCTGCCTCTATGGTTTCCTCTTCTAGAGACAAAGACAAGACAACCGAAAAAACACAGAAATAACATGTTATTGACATCTGACTTTTCCTGGCCCTTCAGTGTTCAAACCCCAGATTGTGAAGTAGGTAACATCACTACCTACCAATGTTCCCCCTTCTTTCATCAAGTGTTTGTGTATACCTCAACTAAATTCCTCCACTTAACTGAAATAGTAAACAGAGAACATAATCACTGCTTTGTTAACAGAAGTATTGTTAACACTGGTAAAAAAACGGTAAATTAAATAACATTACCACTTCTTAATTAAGGTGATAATTAGTTAACCAGGTAAGTAAATAATAGATAGTAGATTCTCTACTTACCTCTGATTATAGAGTGGCCCAGAGAGGAAGACCTGCTGAGCCTCCTGTACAGACACATTCTGCAGCACTGACAGGCCATATATGATGGCCTACCCAAAGAAAATGAATAGTTTTTAAAGACTATAATCTAATACTATTGTACCAGTACACAACAGAAAGCCATTATACATGGGTCTGTACACAAGTAACATGAACACAGTAGCATGAACACGCACAAATACTTTACATTAGGCCTACCTCTGGAAACAGAACACTAAACATGAACTGCACTTCATCTGAGTAGCTCAACTGCGTTAGTGTCATTTGCAGTAGTTTCCTTCAGATAGGCGTACAGTATGTCCTGCTGTTCCTCACTGTCGAGGTAGATTGTAAAATGTCTACTCACACTTCAGCTAGCAAACAATAACTTTGTAATTTTTGTAACAGAAAACAATTCTTAATTAACATTTAGTTACTCACACTCATATCATCCATCTTTCCGCTCAGAAATGCGGTCAGTGGTTATCCAATTCCGTAACGATAGGTCGCGCTGTCGCGAAAATCAAGGGTCCTAGAAATGCGGTCCCAGAAGTGCGGTACCGCAGCCTCCGGTATTGCAGGAGGGAGTCCCCCTCCCTTACAGTAGGAGGCGGTATGGACCTTTTAGGTTGATTTGCAATCCGTCAAATGACACAAAGAAGAAGAAGAACAAGTGATAGAGCGCAACATGAGCATAACTCTGTGTTTAGCAAATGTGCAGCACTCACAGGATGGCTGAAGAGCAACATCACAGCAGCTTGGATCGACAAATGCCGGTAGGTTGGCACCACTGCTAAATGCTCTGTTTAAGACGATATAGTGTGAGTCAGTGTGTCTGCTGTATTGTTTACTGTGGTGGTTTTGTCTTTGTGTACACTGTTAGCTGCGGCTATGCTAACTAGTAAGCTAGCTTTGACAAAGACCAGGTTGAACTTTCTATTGCATGATAACGTTAAGCGAGTGTGGCAGGTGTGGAATAATGGGGCTGCTTCAGTTTTAATAGTAGTCCTCACATTGGACATAAACGTTAAAATGACACTTGTTCGTCAACAAACGTAGTGTCGTTTGTCAGTTGACTTGCACAAACATGGAGAATGCTGTTTATCTTTTAGTGATTTTGCTCAAAGCTTCCCAGCGGAAGTGACATGTATTAAATACCTTACCATGAGTGAGTTGGTTTACTTTTCAAAGATTTTACCTACACAAATTCGCATTGAAAAGAAGCATATCTGGAGAGTGAATTGACTGACATCAGTTAAAGGCACAAAACTTCGACCAAGTAAGCTCGTGCTGTTGTGTTTACAGGCGTAACGTTAGTTAACTTGTGCACGTGCTGTAACGTTAGACCGTGTCTAATGTGATCTTAACACGAACAGTTGCACAAGAAAGATGCTGAAGTATAAAGTCAAAAAGGTTACTGATTAGCTGGTGAACACAGTTTAGTATCAGACAGCTGAAGAGCCTGGTGATTCTCTGTAGAGTTGGTGGAGACCTAAACAGAGCGAAAACTGCTTACCTGGGGGATCTTTAGGTTAATGCTTGTTGTCCTTAGCTTCTGTCATTGGGGATCAATTGGGGACATGGACACCAGCAGAGACAATTAATGTGCAGCAATGTCCAGGCAGCCTGACATTAAAGGGAAGTAGTGTTGCACGGTATACCGGTACTAAAATAGTACTGTGGTACTAGAGTATTCAAAACAGTACTATACTGCATTTGGAAAATACCGGTACTTTGAAATTGATTCAATTCATTAATTTAGTTAATTTATTTTACTCATTTATGCACACAAACGCCTTTCTTGTTCCTATTGGAGCACAGATTGCACAAGTGGTGTGTATGACAACACCTGTATCAACATTCGCAGCTGGCGCATGTGAAAAAAGACAAGAGAAAGTCTGCCTCACAAAGGGAGACAACACGAGACAACACGAACTTGGTGAAACATTTGAGCAGCCAAACCATGACGTCCGTACCGAGGTACTGACAGAACCATGATTTTTTTGGTACCATTACACCCCTACTATTTATTGTTCTAAAGGTTTGTATCCAAAAGGACTTTTCCTTAGGAAAAGTACCGAAGAGTATCGAAAAGTATCGAAATTCATATTGGTATGGGTACCGAAACAAAGATTTTGGTATCGTGACAACACTAAAGGGAAGCATAAAGAGAATGAGAATCGCAGAGCATTCTGGGACGCCACCGCCTTTTTTTGGAGGATAGGGTATGTAGCTAAGGCAAGCCTACAGGAACACAGCTGGGCTTTGAAGCCAATTTGACATAAGGGCCATATGATGGAATTACAGGAGCTCCCAGACTAGGGCTGCAATTAACGATTATTTTCACTGTCAACAAATCTGTTGATTATTTCTTCGATTAGTCGACTAATCGTTTTATCGGAAGATGTGTTAAAATGTTGAAAAATTTTGGTCTGTCTTTCCCAAACCCCTAAATTATGTAATCTAATGTCTTGTTTCGTACTCATGCCAAAGAGTTTTAGTTCACCCTCATGGAGAGTGTGTAAAGCTGCCAATATTTGAACGTAAGAAGCTGCAATAAGAGTATTTTGGGGTACTTTTATAGTACTTTTCTATGAAAAATGACTCAAAACGATTAGTTGACTACTAATATAGTCACAGATTATTTTAATAGTCGATTAGTCATCGATTAGTCAACTAATCGTTGCAGCTCTATCCCAGACCTTAATGTTTTCCCAATTTATGGATGTTTTTAGTGGCTGTTCTTCTTTGAGTTACCTGCTAACTGCCGTTAACTGCTTTTGGAATCTCCTGCAGTAAATTGTAGGGATGCACGACATTGAGATTTTTTGCTGATATCTGATATGCCAATATGTAACAACTGATTTGACTGATAACTGTTACTGATATCGATATATCCACTTTTCCCCGACCTAATTTTAGTGATCATGAAGTCTCTTTTGTAGTGAAATTAACATCATAATAAGCATGTAACTCTTAATGTGATGGCCCACCAGCAGATGGAGACATAAAATTAAATACCTTTCAATGTTATATTCATTTATTTTGCAAAGTAAGAAGAGCATGTTGGCCGATTCTGATAGTTGATTTTAAAGCCAATATTGGCCGATATTGATGATGTTCCGATATTACCAGCATGTTGGCCGATTCCGACATTTAATTTCACAGCCAATATGCCGATATACCAATGATGTGCCCAGTAATTTTATACTCGCGCAGCAACTTTCACTGGAATGAACAGAGCACACATACTAGTGCGCACATATTTTGGCAATCACTGATTTGACTGTTTGTGTTTCAAATCTTATTCACAGAGTAGTGTTTTGTGTTAGTTCAGTAGTTCTTTTTGACCCTTACATCAAACAGTCTGAGGATAGCAGCCGTACCCTTATCCTCCAAAAATGGCCGACTTGATGATGATGACGCATTCCCATTCCTTATTCAACTGATGACATTGGAGGCAGGCAGTGATCATAAAATGTCAGTCATGTGTAAAGGGAGCTGAATAATCAGGAAGACTCTATAGTGCTTAAACATTCTCCTGAATATGTCCACAGACTGTAGCAACTGCCAGGATACTAGTGTGCATGTGTCCTACTCTCTGTGTGCTTCTTGTTTGTCTTAAATGTCTTCTTGTGTCCATATAAGATGTGTGAGAGAGGTGCAAGCAAAAGGAGGATAAAGGAATTAAGGAAACACATTTTTAATGAACTAAGATGTTGTTTCCTGGCAGCTGTCATCTGGAACAACACTAGTTTTTGATGGTCATGGCACAGCTGGATCAGCTAACAGTCTGCAGGTGTCACCAGCTCTGCGGTATCTTTTGGTGTCAGTGTGAAGTAAAATTCAAATAATAATAAGGGTGCACAGTTATCACTGTCCCTGCTGCAGTTGTTACTAATGTCCTCCCATGTAAAGCCTATGCATGTTTCCACCTAAAATTAATAGTATCCATCAAGCATCATCACATGCATTAAAACCTGCATTCTGATCAATCACATTAGTTTGACGTTGGATTTCACTGCTCAGACACTGAGTGAAAACCAACCAGACATTTCTACTGACAGCAAGGTGTTTCTTGAATGTATTGTATGCATCAGCATTTATTGATATTCTTCTTGCAAATAATTTAGAATCCAGATTATGATGAGTGTTTTTTTTTTGTTTGTTTGTTTTTTTAATTATTTATTTTTCAGGAGAATAGAAATGCTTTAGCCTAAATACAGCCTATCTCACAGTGGAATGTATATTTTTACCTAACTCAGAGAAATGTTACAAATTACCTTAAGAGATAATGACAGTGTGTTTCTTTCTGAAAGACATCAGACCCTCCTCCTCTACCAGAATATGATATTATCCATGACACATCTTAAAAGTAGAAATCACAGAATCGGATCGTACTGGAGAATGCTGAGGGTTGTTTTATGTTTTTTTTGATGGTCAAACATACAGTTAACACAAGTTCACTATTTAACAAATAAAATGGAGAAGTTCATCTGAGCAAAAGTACATCTGAGCTGGTGTATCTTGTGGTTATGTGGTTTCAGCCTGATCAGCTGCAGTGTCCTGTCACTAACTCGTACATTAAAGAGGTGTGTCAGTCTTATGAATCATTTCCATGAAGGATGGTCCTGTTAATCCATGCTCATGCCTCCTCTGGGCAGAAATAAGGGAACTTAGACATTTTTTTTTTTACGACAGACCAGATCAAATTTCCAGGTGGCATGAGGAAGATAAAGTAAGGCAAATGAGAGGCACCCCCTGTCTTTGTATCCTCTTCCCTCAATCCCATTAACTGACTAACACCTTCCTCTGTCATATTGTGTCCAGAACTAAGGTTCATGCTTGGGAAATAGAGCCTCCAGGCTGCAGGAGGGAGGAAGTACGGTGTGTATATGTGTGTGCGTTTAAGCCTGGGCAGTGACGCACAAGTGATGGGTCCAAGGAGGAAGGCCTCTAAGCTCCAGCCTGTGGTGGGCAGCAGTGGAGGGGAACTGGTCCTGAGACCTAGTGAGCCCAAAGACTACATCAATGAGCTGTCCCATGAAGTCCTCTGTCATATATTCAGGTACACTGCACTACACCTACACTTTGTACTTTACAATATATTCTAGGGCTGGGTCAGGTTCTACAGTATCCATGTGTTTTTATGGTCATGTGTCTTATATGACCATTACCATGAGTAAGATGTCAACACCATGCCTAAGACTGTGTACAAGTAAGGAGACAGGTGATATTAGGGCTGGGCGATATAACGACTATGGACGATATATTGATATATTTTCAAGCAAGATATAAATTTAGACAACATCGTTCATATTGATATAGGGTCAAGTTGCATTACGTAACACCTACCAGTGTGCACCTCTCCTCTCTCACACTCTCTGCACAGCTCCACCTCACTCACTCACTCACTCACTCACTCACTCACTTACTCACAAGCTCTTCAGCAACACTAAGAGCAGTGTTGAAGATCAAGTTATTTTTATTTAATTTTATTTTCTACATAGCGCCAGCCTCATGTTATTTAACTTATTTACACGAAGGCATGTCATTTCTGTCTCTACATGGTTGTGTCTTTACAACTGTCCTCTGCTTAGGGATGGGCGATATGGCTGAAAAGCATATCACGATATAGCTGGTTCATATTGATCGATAACGATAATTATCAATCATTTTTTTCTAACCTATTTAAAATAAGGACCAGGAGAAAATAAATACATTTTCACACATTTATTTTAAACTCAATAGCTTTCTTCTGGTTTCAATCACAGTCATCTGTCAGGGCACACGGAGGAAAATGTGATGTCAACACAACCATTAGAAAACACTCAAATAAATGAACATACACAAGATGGTTCAAAAAACTACTACTCCACTACTAAAACTACTTTTCCTTGCTATGCGCACTCATTCTTACTACTCATCCACGCTGTGTTGTGTTCAGTGTTGCCAGATCTTGGGAGAGAAACAAGCAACCAGGACCAGCAACCAAAATTACTTTAAAAATACATTATATTTACTGCCCTTGAACTCTTTCTAGCCGACCAAAAACGTGGAAAGAATAAATGCTTGAATGAAAATGAAAGTAAAGAAGTTGCATATAACGAGCCATGTTACTTTCACTGTAACAGTGCTGGTATGCTGAACAAGATCTGAATGATGAGTACATATTTCACACAGAATCTGAATCTGCACACTGCCTTTGAACCATCCCACTCTTGAAGTCCAATCTTTTAATCCCTTCTCTTTCTACAAATCTTTATTGTATTCTTTCCATATTTCGCCCACTTGTCAGCGAAATAGTTAAAGAACCTCAATTTAAATGTGCAAAGTCTCATTGACTGACCGTCACCGGGTCCAAACCTGACCTGAGCCCGACGCAGTTTGTTACCTGACATAGTGATTGTTATGGACAGTGTGTAAATGACCATCAAAAGACTGCTGTTACGCACAGTCAAACACGCTGCTCGCACAGCAGCGCAGCACTGTACATTTTCAATTTAGATTTTTCATTTGTTATCCGCTATGTGCATACATAAGATTATTAACCTAAAGACAGAGATTGAAATTATTTTCCAGCACTAGATTCATTTGAAAGGCCATGGAAAACAACTTGTTAACTCTACCCACAAAGATTTTTAATTGTTCCAAACTGCAATGGATTTAGGCATACCTGATACTTTTATACCCATGTCATAGTTTTGTGGCCAGTGGTGCAAACCTTTAAATCTCTGAAGCTCCAGTGCTATGAGCAAAACTTTTAATGTACAGCCCTGCTATTTATTTTATATAATTTTCATTTACATGTGCAGTGCAGCTGTATATTTTCAAATGGGGAAAAATCCCTGTCTTAGCATTTTATTTTGATCAGTCTGTTTTTATAAAAGTGCTTGTGACATCTTAAATGTGGCTTTGACTCGCAACTGAAAACGTGACCCATTTTGTAGAAAATACCAAGATATATATTGTGTATTGCCAGTCAGCCTGTAAATACCGAGATATGAATTTTTGTCCATATCACCCAGCCCAAGGTGATATCACTGTTTAAATTTCAAAATTAGGGTACTTCAACATCACATTGATGAAAAAAATCATATATAAATCCAATACTGCCTTAAAGCAGTCCTGCGTCCTCATTTGCAACATTGCCACAGTGATCTGTTACATCTATCATCTCTGGGTGTAACAGTGATCTGTTACACCCAGAGATGATAGATGTACAGCTGCTAAAGCATAAACAATATATAAAATCTCTAGCAGCTGACAAAGGTATATCATCTCGTATGTCATATGATCCAGCCCTAGCAAACTTTACTTTGTAGCGATAAGCATTACAGCTTGACCTATCCTAAGTTGCAAAAAGTTTTGAAAGTGTGAACATGTTTTGTTTCGTTTTGTTTTGTTTTGTTTTGTTTTGCAGGTATCTTCCCATGAAGGACATCATGTGTATGGAGTGTCTGTCCAGAAAGCTCCGGGAAGCTGTTACTCTGTACCTGCGAGTGGTAAAGGTAGTGGATCTATGCGCTGGTCGCTGGTGGGAGTATATGCCTTCAGGTAAGAGCTCGCAGCACAACCACTGCATCACTGCTGAACAAATAACTAAGGGCATGTTCATTGGTCAGTGCTGCAGTACAACTGCATACAGTGTTTCCCACAGGATTTTGGGAGACTTGGGGGGGGGGGGGGATTGTGGTCCAGAATATGGCCACTTGTCCAGAAACAGAAGAGCGTAAAGCTTTGTTTATACTAGCATGAGACATCATGGTGTGGGCCTCCATAGATGGCGCCCAAGCTATGAGCATGCACAGAGGCATTTCTAGTCAGGGCATTGTTCAGTGCACTATTGTTGGCAATATCCTCTAAAACACCAAGGAGTGTACTCACAAAAGATTCTGAGGATAAGCAAGTCAATGACTTGAAAAGTAGGCTGCCAGGCAACAGTAATAAACACCAACGTACCACAAAACATTGCATTTGTGTACTGTTATTACAACGGTGCTTACCGCTATGTCTAAATTATTTTGTACTGCTTTGTTTCCCTGGGGTAGCTACTCTTTCCATGAGGCTGTTTTTTAGCTTTTGCAATGATCTCTCATGTTCTTCCTCAGCCTCTAGCAAACAGCCTCCTCTTTCCCAAGTGTGGAGCTATTTCCTTCCAGGAATTCAAGGCCTTTGAGTCTCCCTGCAGTCTCTTAAAGAAAAGTCATAGAGAACCTGCTCGGCCAGTCTTCCCTGTTTAACTAAAAAGCGCAGCATGCACAGTGGACACCTAGTTATAAAACCAAGCACACCAAGTGCTGCAATAACTTTCAGAGCCCTCTCACTTGACACAAAAGGGGTAGTCACATCACAGTGTTTTTCAAAATAAACTTACTATGTAGGTAAAACCCTTGTCTGATGCGAACCCTGCGTCGGGACACTACAGGGAGTATACACTAGGGCTGTAGTCAACCAAAGAAAATCTTGGTCGACTGAAGTCGTACATAATCTTCAACTAATCGATTAGTCGTGGGGAAAAAAAAAATCTGCACGTTAGTTTTACTTCTGCAGTGGTGTGTCTGTGTCACTCTGCAGTTACACCTCCAAAACACTAGTCGGCGGTGGAGGCTGTAAAGTTTAGTTGATTCAAAACACACATTAAATATGGCTTAATAGAGACAATTTCAAACACAAGTACACAAATTGGCTTCACTATAAATCGCAGCCTTGACAGACAAACACTTGTCTTTATCTGGACACATATCCCCCACCAGTACAACATGCTAACGTTATTAGCACAAGTCTATGGCATTTTACATTGTATAAATTAGCCTAGCATCTAGTGATCTTGTCCTCTTCTCATATAAAACCAGGGACAACAACAACATCTAACAAAGGTAACAGCACATAATTTGGCTCCATTACAACTCACAAGATTCACTGACAAAACGACTGTCTTGTACCGAACACGCTTTCCAAGCAAATACAACATGCTAATGTTATTAGCGCCAGGCTATGGCATTTTACATTGTAGAGGTTTGCCTAGTGACAAGCGGAGATTTCCTCTTTTCATATGAAGCCAGGATAAATCCCTAAGTATAAATCACACACAAGAGTTAAAATGCTATTTTAGTGGAGGCTTTACTGTCTTCACAATTTATTGTTTCTTATCTGTGAAATACAAGTAAATACAAGCTTTGTTTCCACTGAGGGAAATGGTGTCAGTATACAGAAACTGACAGGAGGTCTGCGTCACCGCGATGCTGAGCGTAGGGTTGGCCAGTTCAACTTTCTGTCAACAATGGGGGGGTTTTGAAAACACCCCCATTTTCACAGGTAACTTACTCTGTCCCCCCGCCACAGGAAATATGGATTCATCCTGGAAAGCTATTGATGTAGCACTTTTCTCCTTATGAAAGTAACATGGCGATTATTCGACCAATGAGAATTTGGTCGGACGAGAGCATAGCGACTAAATAATCGACTAGTCGACCAGGAGACTACAGCCGTAGTATACACCATGCTTGACTGTCAAGGCTGATTGTAGGGTTTAGACAATAAGTTAGTGGTAGATCAGCAGTGGTCTGGTGGCAGATGTTAGGAATTGCCATAGTACAGTGGGAGAGTGTAAGCTTTTTGTACTGATGAGTGTATGTATATCAGCTTATTTCACAGGTGTCCCTAGCTAAGGCATTTGTGCATGAGTAACCCTCAGCTGGTTCTACAGTGGACGATGCTGTTTTTACACATACTGAGAAAATGGTCTGATCTTGTTCGTGGTGTTTTCTGGTTTAGGCTTTACAGACAGCAGCTTTCTGCTCCTTTTGAAGAAGATGCCAGATCTGGAGCAGCTCTATGGCCTCCATCCTCGATACCTGGAGAGGAGACGAGTCCGAGGCTACGAGGCTTTCAGTATACCTGGAGTCCTGGAAGCACTACAAGCCTGTCCAAATCTGCTGGTCAGTATGTAAGCAAAAAGTTACTCTGTGGCAAACAGTACACGTCACAGGCTAGCCAAGGCTTAAGACTAATGGAGTCCCAACATCAATTTGATGATAGAAAATGTGTTTGGTATAAAGAAGGATTTTCCCTGTGTATAACGATCACATAGCAAATGACAAACTGAATTGAGCGACCCCAACCGAGCACTTATTCATGCTCTTATGACTGGGAGAAGAGCTAGTTAGCAGTTAGCAGTTAGCAGCTGGGGGGCAGCAGATTTCTGTTGTGTGTTGGCTGATGGAGCTAACAGCTATCCAGACTAATGGCTAACAGCCAACAGAGATAAACATTGAATTTCCCTTCAGGGGATTAATAAAGTAAATAAACTTAAAACTTAAACTTAAACTTAAACACAGCATAACTGAAACTCACTGTTCAGAGGAACATGAAGCATAAACAGTGAACTGCAGTTTAGTATTTCAGCTGGGTACAGTTTGGAGGTAACATTAAATGTACTTTAAGGATGGAGTTACAGACACTTTCCATCAGTGTTCACATTTTACAAGATTTGAAAGTAGAAGTCAGAGATGAAAATAAATAACCAGATACATTTACTCCACTCTTTACTGAAGAATACTGCTTATTTATTTCCTCACCATTTCAATGTTATTAACATGCCACTAACAACTATAGATAATGGCAACAAAGTAAAGAACCAATAAACTGTGAATTGAAGAAACTGTGAGAGAATATACCATATATTTACAGAAATATTTTCATTCTGTGAAAGTCCTTTCATTTATTGTAGTGTCACCGTTAAGGAAGGGTGTCTTAAGTTACATTTAATTGCCTCCTCTGTAGGCTGTTGTTTTTATGTAAGTTTACATTTGGGTCATCAAAACCCACCAAATTTCAAAGCTTGGTGGCCTGTGGGAACAGTGCTTAAAAATAATAGCGTCTATCCCTGCCAAATGATCATAAATAGTTCACTGCACAGTAGCCACCTTGTGGTAAAACATGTTAATGAATTCATTTAGACCTATTAGTAATGTTGTCAGGCTAATTTAGTCTTAATAGGTTGTCATTCATTATAGGCTCCAGACAGACTTGCATACATTACAACATTATAAGTCAGAAATGGCTCATTTTTTAGTAAATGTTGCCGACCCCTGCTGTAACACCTAATAGCCTGTCCTTGCCCCTCAGGCTTGTGATAATTTTCAAGTCTGTAGAGAGTCAGCCTTTGCTCTAGAGCAAACCTAGGCATTATAAAGCCTGTGGCCTGTAATTGGCCAGCACAATGGTTCTGCCTCTTCTGGGAGATCTAATGCCTGGATTCCACTAGGTGCAGAGTCAGAGTTGGGGCCAAGGTTGTAACAAAGTTCTAACTTTATAACGTTACCATACACATTAGCTTGGTCACACCTGTTGCATAGTATGGTAAGCTTTGGTTCAGTCTTGTTTTGTCTTTTCTGTTTATTGGCGGGTGTAATTAGCATTTAAGGTGCATTGGTGTCCCTCTGTTTCGTTGCATAGGTGGTTTAATTATGTTGAATCTTCATCAAACATTTGTTATATTTCTATCATTGTTATCGGTTTATTACCTGGCATACTCAGCGTAGTTTTTTAATACATGAGTATTTTGGTCTTCCAGTGTGCTGGATAGCATTCTGACACTTTGTTTCACTTAGATTTTATTTAAATTAAAAGTATAAGTACAAAAACAAAACCAGAATACCCAGCAGACATGTTCAGTAAACAACACAAGTATTTCATATCTGGAAAGGAGTAGGAGAAGGTTGGTAAGTCCTACCCCATTTTTATATTCATCAATAAACTTAAATTATATAAATAATTATATATAAATTATTCCCCCTTTCAGCCCCAGTATTCACCATACACACCTCAACTAAATCACACAAAAATTAAACATTCAAGACAAAACAACAGATCAACCTGATTTAGTCACCAAACAAAAAATCAACTCACATTTGGCGCTTTGCGGGTGTTAATTTTGGACTCTTATACCCTCTGTCAGGGTCTTCCTCAGAGGATGGAGTTGAGCAGTAAGTTGTCACCATTATAGCTAAGCATGCTCCATCTACGAAGGAAGACTGCAAGATAGTATTGAATGAGAAAACCTAGGAAGAAGACCTTTTTAGATTTCTTTCTTTTTTTAATCTCAGGGTGTGGAGACATCCCATCTGGAGCTGGTAGAAGCCATATGGAACTACATGCCCCAGGTTCATATACTGGGAAAGTTCCGCAACCGTAATGGGGCTTTCCCCATTCCTGCAGAGAACAAACTGACCATCCCCATAACTGCAAAGATCCAGACCCTACATCTAGTGGGTGAGTAGGATCACAACAAACTGACATTTCCTGCTAATGCCTCCACATTACAGTTGGGATACAAAGGAGTAAACCAAGGTTTCAACCCGCTAGAGGAGAGTTTTTTCTTGCCACTGTCACCTGGCTTGTTCATGGTGGAATGTTGAGTCTCTATACATTAAAGAGCATTGTTTTGATCTGCTCTGTATTAAAATTGTCACGAGAAAACTTCTGTTGTGAATTGTCAAGACATAAACAAGATGGACTTGTCCAAATTGTTGTAGGTGTGAATGTCCCAGAGATCCCGTGTGTGTCCATGCTGCGCCACCTTTACCTGAAGTGGGTCCGTCTCACCAAACCACAGCCGTTTAAGGACTTTCTGTGTGTGAGCTTGAGGACCTTTGTCATGCGGAACTGTGCAGGGCCAACCAACTCGCTCAAGTATGTTCCCCTGGTTACTGGTTTAGCATCAGCACGGAACCTGGAGCAGCTGGAGTTGGTGAGAGTTCCCTTCCTGGGAGGGCTGATCCAACATGTGGTGGAGGATAGCTGGAGGTCAGGTGAGGAAAACCTGTGTCTATAAGTTTGTAAACAGTCCTAAGTGTTGGTTTTACCAGAGTAAATTGTATTCTATAGAAATCATTCAGTGGCTTGTTGTCAGGCTTTGGATATACGGTCAATGTTAGTAGGACTTATTACCTCCTTTTAAGGAGGTCATGTTTTCAGTCCTTTTTGTATATTTGTTTGTCAGCAGGATTACAGAAAAACTACTGGCCCAATTTGGTGGAAGGGTGTAGCATGGGCCAAGGAAGAACCCATTACATTTTGGAGCCGATCCGAATTACAGGGCGGATACATGAATTATATATTATTATACATGCACATGGCTCTTATCTTGGACGTCATAAACAACTTGGAGGTAGCTTAGCCAAAATGGAGGTGGCTAGCAGTGCAGAACTGCTAGCCGTGCAGGGGCTGGGGACAACATCAACAGCAGTAACCATCATATGACAAGTGCTCTCCCGCACAAGCCTGGCCTGTTTAGTATTTTAGTATTTTTATTCCCATTTCCTTTTAGGCTTACGAGGCTTTCTTTTCTTTTGTTAATCAGAATGAGAATCATTTTCCACTGTTGTTTGTGTGTAGTCATGACAGATGATTTGAATCCTCTCACTACCAATTTTAGAAATCTAACTAAAAACTTGCAAATGCACCCAAAGCTCACACTTTTGATGACATGTTTATATGTTTTATTTTCTGTGTTATGTTGTATGTGTCTCTCCAGGAGGATTTCGCAACCTCCACACCATTGTGTTTGGAGCCTGTAAGAACGCTTTGGAAGTGGACTTGGGCTACCTCATCATCACTGCTGCTCGAAGGTGCTCAGCCAGTCTTCAATTCCTTTAACTAACTGAGAGAAAAACACATCCATGTACAGCTTAGGTTTGTAAAGCGAAACGTGAAGAGCTGCCATTGCATCTTGGAGGCAATCTCAAGTGAAGCTGCTCTAACCCTTTAAAACGCCAATGTCACACAAAAGCACAGACTAAGTAATTGATCAAGGCAGCAGTAGACCAGCAGCTCCTGTGCTCTGCCACATAAAATTAGTGTTTTTGTTAAGTCTGGCTTTGAAGAGAGTATAGGTAACAGCTTCAGTTCTCCGTCTGAAAGGGCTGTCTGATGGCAAGGTAAAGCAGGGAAAATATTCCTAATATGGTGTTCATTTAAGATGATATTGTTTTTCTTTGATGGCCCTTATGTTAGGTGGCTAAAAGATGTTTTGCTGCTGCCCCTGCCCACAGCAGACCATTGCTTAGCTAGTTCTAGTTGTCTGTCATTGTGACGGAAAGGGTTGTAAAAATTCTGTTGTAATGTATTATTACCCATATTTTAATTTTAGCTGCCGCAGGCTAATAAATGTTATAAATAGCCCATGATCTGCTTGTCCTTAATCCTCCACAGCATAAATCTCTCTCCTTTTTTGTGTTGTGTTAGCTCGTGTTTACTAGGCAGACATTGAATGAACCAGCCCTACATTTTTTCACCTTGTTATCAATGCTGTTACTATTATTGGGCTTTTTAAAGAAACTTTGGACACTCAGCTGCCGTGCTATTTTCCCATGGTATGCACCGATATAGTCTACCATTGTGATGGCTGATGTAAAGAGGTAATCCAGGGTTATGTACATGAGATCAAAGACAAAACTGGACAATAGCTTATTAATATGTGCATGCCACCAATTACTTAATGTTACTGTAGATTGCAGTCAGCATTCTAATCAGTCAAAACAACAGATAGCCCCCAGATTTTTCCATTGTTGTTTAAAAAAAATAAATAAATAAAATTCTGTGAGAATATTCGGTTAACACAACCTCAGGATGGCACTTCTGCCTGCTTCTCCAAACTGCAGGTGAAAAATCCAAGCTAACCCTTTAAAGCTACACTTGGTACCACTTGTGAAAATAACTTAGTGTTATATTTGCTGAATTTGTCTCTATATTCTGAAAGAAGTACATAAGACATAGTAAAAAAAATCATGTCCTACTTCCTCTTCCTGCTCCTTCTAATGGCTTTTACTATAGTCAGACTGCAGTGCACCAGGCAACCAGTCAGAGCAGAGGAGTCTCCAACAGAGCTGTCAATCATGTCAGTCACTGCTCCTGAATTGCAGTCAAACTATCAAACTAGACAGTACTGATCAAATATGAAACAAGATTCTGTTACTACATTGCCTATTTCTCCCCTCAGAGGTTTTTGGAAACATATTTTAGTGTATTGTTTAGCTGTAAAATGAGAAAGTTGGTAACCAGGTTGCCATGTTGGAGACACTTGACTGAAGTACGAAGCACCACAAATGCAGAAAAGGTTGTCAGTTACAGACTATTGTTTTAATTGCTTAATAGGGACCAACATATACATTTAATGATATGATTTCTGTGTGTTTAACAGGCTTCATGAGCTGCGTATCCAGCCTTCACTGACTAAAGATGGAGTCTTCTCAGCTCTCAAAATGGCTGAACTAGAGTTTCCTCAGTTTGAGACACTGCATCTGGGTTACGTGGATGAGTTCCTGCTGCAATGTTAGTTTCTCCTCTCAAATACCATCACCATGCTCACAGAACACTGGCCATGTTCCCCTCCCCAACAGGAATAAACAATTCTGCTGGCTTATCCCATACTTAATTCTTTTTTTTGTATAATTATTTCGAATGGCAGACCACCAGGGTGCTCTTGCTCATTACATTACCCATTGAGCAGTCTTACCTGGGCCCAGTTAAAAAAAAAATCCCAGAAAATTCCATGTGTTGCAAAATTGGAATGGATCACCCTGATGCAGATACAAACATTTCAAGATTACCAAATCCAGGTAATCAGTGTTCTAAATAAAACTACATATCACAATGTCGGCCACTGGCTATGACTATGTATAAAACAGGTAGAATAGCCAGTGTGTGGTCACTTAAAGCATTTTCACTTGAAGAGACAGAAAACCGCATGAAGGACGTGATTGTTAGAAACTAGTTTAATATAAAGTGATAAAGTTAGAATTAAAGTTATTATCTTGAAGACTTCTATTTAAATTAATGTCTGTTAAGTCACTATTGATCACCAAATGAGGTATTATAATGGTAATTGAGCCTTTGGTTCACTGATGAAAGCCCTTGCATTTTAAGTATTTAGGAACTGGATGTGTCATACAAATCAATATGTCAGCCTGTTTTCAAGACTTAGTCTGCCAATATATACACTGCAATTACTGCTTATCACCATAGGTGCCACCAAAGAGAACAAAACAGACGTTTTGGTTATTCTAATGTTTGTTTAATTAATAAACAGCTATTGGGGGAATTCTTTTATGGAGACAATACCTTTTTTGAATTTACCTTACTAAAGGCTTAATAGGTAGTCTAGATGGATGGATGGATGGATGGATGGATGGATAGATGGATAGATACACTTGACTGATTTGAAAGTTTTTTTGCATTTTGTTCCTGATATCCAGCCTGAATCCACCCATCCGAAGGGTGTTTTTTGGATCAAAGGTATCCCAATCCCACCAAAATGTGAACAACACAAATTAAAGGGTTGATCCAGATCAAAACCATGATTGGATTACATGATCTCACCAGATAAGAGAATCTTTTTGTTCTTCTGAACAACCCATTTTCAAGATTTGATCTAATCCGATATCCAAAACCCAATCAGATTACTTCTGAACAGCTGGGTCCTGGCTGTCCCACCGTGTGCTGTGATTATGTATCCCACATGAATGAACTTAGGAAAAAAATTAAACGTTTAAAAATGTCAGGTCTGCTCTAGATAATTATAACCTTTCTGAAACTTGAATCCTGTTCCTCGTGACTTGAACTGAATAAGTTGAGTTGAAATATGTGAGGTTTACAGGTGTGTGTCTGTGTGTGTGTGTGTAAATGCAGGCAAGATGAGTCACTCGGAGCTGGTGAAGTATGGTCTGGCTGATGTCATTGAGAACCCAGGCATCATCACTGATATTGGCATAAAGGTGGTGAACGAGGTGTTCACCAATATTAAATACCTGCTCATCTACAACTGTCCTCACCTGCACAACCCTCACCACTGGATCACAGGTAAGACACACTCACTCTCACTCACACTCACCACTATTTGCCTGATAATTAATGTCCATGTTTGTGGTGAGCTCAATTTCTCTGTATAATGTAATATTTGGTCAACCTCTACTGGTTCCAAGTGGAGCCTTGATTTTGTTGCTGCCTTTAATCTCTCACTCTTTGAAAAGCGAAGTGTTGTAGTGCTCTCTGTAGCTGTTGCATTCTGCCTGTTTTTGTCCTCAGATCAGTCCAGATGGAGTCGTCTTGTTGATCTGACTCTGGTTCGCTGTCATGCTATCAAACTGGAGTCCTTCTCCCAGTTCATTGAGTTACTGCCCAGTCTGGAGTTTATCTGTCTGGACCAGATGTTCAGAGAACCACCCAAGGTACACAGTATGTTTACAAATACACACACACACACACACACACACACAGTAACAGTCATATGCATCTTTCACATGCATGCTTAGGGCGTTTTCTGAAATCTATTTGTCTCCAGCATCCACTCAGAATCCCACCTCCATCCCTTCCTATATATGATAAACTGTTTGACTTTAAAAGGAGTTTGTACAGTATGTTCTCCCTGTGTCAGCATGGGTTTACACCTCCAAGAGTCCAAGACTTGCAGGTTAGGTTAACTGTTGACACTAAATTGAATGTAGTACATCGAATTTCCCCCTTGTGGATTGATAAAGTATATTAATTAAATTAATCAAATTAATTAAATTAATTAAATGAAATTACCTGTGTGCCACAGTGGAGGCAGGGAGGGTCTTAAGGTCCCCCTGAAAAAGGCATCCCCCTCATCCTGCTATTCCACCTCCCTCCACAGGCCTACTCGTCTATGATAGACGTAGGCGTTGGCAAGGTAACGGGAGAAACACCGAAGAGGAGCGCGAGTGTAACGTTACAACCAAGACAGTCGTTAGATAGTAGTGTTAACGTTACTAGTAAGTGGAAATGCACAAGGAAGATAACGTTTATGTTTCAGAGGCTACGCTACAGTAGTTAGCCATTAGCAACTGGATGCTGTGTTGTCATATATAACATTATGAACGGAACTTCTTTATTTGTCATTTTTATGCGCAGCACATAAACGAAATGACATTTCGCATACCCCAAGCAAAAAGAAACAAAATATTTAAAAACAATTTGTGCAACATATAAGAAAGAACATATAGTGCAATAGTAAGATGAAAAGGGTCGACATTTCACAGTCAAAAACTCCACATCCTGAGAGCAGAACTGGGAGATCCTCTTCACATCACAGCACCATAAAATGTTTGTGTATACACCACAGAGCTTAACAGATGATGCAGCAAAAATGTCTGCTCTGTGTAGTGTTAGCCCCGTTAGCTCAACACCAGAGTCTGATATGTTACCATTCATCCATGTCTCAGTGAACACAAGGATGCAGCAGTCCCTCACTCCTCGGTGAGTGGAACTCCACAGTCAGATGTAATCCATTTTTGTGAGCGCGAGCAGTTACGTCAGTCGGAGGCCTCCACATGGGGAAGACAGAAAGGACAGGAGAAAACTCCGACCAATCATTGCATTCGGTCTGTGTGCCATCAGCTTATTAATAGCATTTTAACCTAAACAAAGAAAAGTGTAAAATTTCCAGAAAGGTACGTGTGGCTTTAATCTGGAAACAGGGGGCTCGGTGGGGACAGAGCACCTGCCACAGCAAGCGAACACACCGTCTTCGGTCATTTTGACTTGACCAGCAGACTTCACTACAAGCCGATTGGCTGTTGTTGGAAAAAGGAGAAGTGCTCAATAACACAGATGCATGAAAAGACTCGTAGATCTTTAAAATAAACCTGTGAAAAGTGGGAGCAAAAACAAATTAGTTGCTTTAATATTTTTATTCAGTATATTTTGCCCTGTTTTGAAACAACCACATGTTAGCTGTTCATGTCATTGTCAGCAGTTTGGGTTTCAAGGTGCAGGCCTTCTACTGCCTTCACATGAAAATGCATTATTTTGGGACACATTCATGACACTTGACCAATTGTTATCAGCAGATGTATTGCCCTCTTAGTATTCGCAGTCCTACTTTACTGAGTTTGTGGCTGATACCAGATGTGCTCCTTATGCATTGTGTGTGTGTGACAGGGCTGTGCTAGGGTGGGCCTGAGTGCAGGAACTGGTATTGGTGTGTCCTCAGCACTTGTCAGCAACCAGAACTCCAACAATGACAATGACAATAACAACAACCACCACCACCACAACAATGAGGCCAACCTGCCGCCTGCTCCTCCACCTGTCAACAACATTAACAATAACAACCAAAGACAACAGCAGCAGCAGCAGCAGCAGCAGCAGCAGCAGCAGCAGCAACAACAGCACAATGGCAAGTCCCTTCTGCATTCTTAGTCAGTGGAGCAGCAGCATTCACAGCACAGCAGCTCGATAACAACATCTATTTACTGTAGGCCAAGTGTTAAGAACCCTTTGCTTTTTACATTTTCATTTTTTATTGACTTCAGCTGAATTTTAAATAAAAACAATTTCCAACAATCTTTAGAAAACCTTTAATATAAACAAAACAAGGGCCAATGGTGCTAAAAGAAGCCCACTTGAATCCTATCTGGGAATATTAATGCTCTTTAAAAAGATGACAAGAGCTACAGTGCCTTGCAAAAGTATTTATACCCCTTGAACTTTTCCACATTTTGTCATGTTTTAAGCACAAATCTATATGTATTTTATTGGGATTTTATGTGATAGACCAACACAGATGTGCATAATTGTGAAGGGGAAGAAAAATTATACGTGGTGTTCAAGATTTTTTACAAATAAAAATCTGAGAAAAGGGGGCTGAATACATATGCATGCCACACTTTTCAGATTTTTATTTGTAAAAAATCTGGAACACCATGCATCATTTTCCTTCCACTTCACAATTATGCACTACTTTGTGTTGGTCTATCACATAAAATCCCAATAAAATACATTTAAGTTTGTGCTTGTAACGTGACAAAATGTGGAAAAGTTCAAGAATGCTTTTGCAAGGCACTCTAAATGGGAAGCGAGTCAGACTTATGGCAATTGAAATTTGACATGTTTCTGTTGTGAGAGATCTTGTTAACAGACAAACATATTGGACCAGAAACATAACCTCCTTGGTGAGTTTTTTTTTTTTGTTGTTGTTGTTGTTGTTTTGTTTTTTTTCATAGTACCAGTGGAAGTAAATGGGATGGAGGATGATGAGGAAGAGGAGGAGGATGAGCTGATGCTGGAGGAGGAGAATATGGAGGCTGAGCCTCAAATAGAGCTGAAAGGAGCAGAAGGGGAGGTGAGAGTTGAAGAAGCCGATGTGGCTCCAGGGCCCAGTCGTCCGGCTGGAACATCACAACCTCCTGATGAGGAGCAAGCAGGTTTGGAGCAGCTCTTTTTTCATCGTTAGCAGAGGTTAAGATGACATGTTTTTTACACAAATGTTGCGTTTCATTAGTAGTTCCACTTGCCCTCATTCACTTTACCTCAGCTCTTAGTATAGCTGTAAAACTCAGTACCATAAATGACCAGTTACCTGTCATTTATGTCTAAGTCAAAGCCGCACCTGTTAATAAAATCCTGTGATTAAACACACACAGGCTACAGTCACTCACATTAAGCTGGGTTCTCTGTTCTTGAATTACAAATCCAGCATAGTAAAAGTTTTTTTCACTGGCTGTGCTCAGTATGTTTTATGCTTTTCTTTTTACAAATCATCAGATATACCTGCAGACTCTCTTTTATGAGGCGAAGGCATCTTCTGCACATAATTGCAATACATCGGCAGGCACTTGTTAACTGCTGCATCATTTTCTGATTTAGACACATCTGTTTGTGATCTGTATCATCATTATAATAACTATTATTGCTACAGATTTATGACATCCTGTAAAACAGCAAATTTTCCATGCATCTACAGATAATATCGGAAAAAAGAAATTACAGTACACCAATCAAAGTAAATATTAAATGCAATTAATTATAAGACTTTATTCAGTTTTATAGCAAGCTATCAGAGACTTTCTTGAGAAACTATCTGCCAATATTCTCTTGCATTAAATGAATAACTGCAATGTGTTGTGGGTAATATATACCTCTTGAGTGACCATAGTTGTTCATTTACTCCCTCAGCCCTCCGAAGATAGCTCTCACCAAGGGAAAGTCAGTGAGGGCATGTTCAGCGACTAATGAAATGCAGCTTAAGTGTTTTTGTGCTCTAAGACTCTCAGGTCAAGTAGGAAGATTCTTTTAAATTTTTGATGTCAACTGATACACCCTACCCACCTCCAGGTCCCAGTGGTTTAGTCCAGCAGTGCAGGCCAGCTGGTACTGCTGTTCCAAAGCCCCCACTGGTCATCTCAGACTCTGACAGCGAGGAAGAGGAAGGCCTTGTTTCAAGGCTAATGCCAGCAACCTGTTTGCAGCAGCCAGCTTCCTGTGCAGAAGGTGTCAGCACAACACACAACACACCTAGCAGTTCCAGCAGTTAGTTTAATGAGCTTACCATGTCACATTGGGTTTTAGGTGTAGACCATAGACTTAATAACAAAGATGGACGAGATGATAGTTCCCCCATAGTGAAGCCTAAACATATGGAGGTGTTGGGGGGTGTCATGAGTGACAGCTGTGTGCTCCTAATCAATGGCTGCTCGCAATTGGTTGGATGGGTGTTTGGGCAGGAACTCAATACCGCGGAAATTGCTATTGGGTAGACTCTGGCTCCAAGTGACATCACCAGCGCAAGATGGCTGTGGCCGTATCCAGGATATTTTGGCTTCAGGAAGTAGAGATTCATTGTCCATCTTTATATTCAGTCTATGGTGTAGACTGGGGTCAGTAAGAAAACAGCTACAGTATGAGGGCATACGTGAGGGGAAAAAGTCCTACCTTTCTTGTTCATTGAAAAACAGAAGAAAATGGTCAAAATAACAGAGCTTGGTTTACCTCACCAGTGTAACATAAATGTGTGTGTTTTCAGGTAAAGGAAAGACCCCTTTGAGGCGGAGCAACAATGTGGCTGTATCAGTGGCAGTCTCGGCAGATCAGACAAAGGCTCAGGTGTTAGAAAGCAGCTGTGAGAAGAGCTGTCAGGTGACCAGTGAACAGATCAAGGCAGACATGAAAGCTGCTGCTGAGAACAGCAGGAGGACTAGCGGTAAAGGAATTGCTACTGAGACTGTGGAGACTACTGGGAGACCTGGGGCTGACGGTGGGACAGTACGGGGCACTGGGAGTGCTGGGGCAACAGCAAGGACCGCAGTGAGACCAGTGACTGGATCTGTGGGCAGGGCTGGGCCTGGAGCAGCTGTATCCAGGCAGGTGGGTGGATGTGGAAGGGTGGTGGCAGGGACTTCCCACAGAGCAACCACAACCACGGACAGAGCAACAGCAACTGGCAGGACTAATGACAACACAGAGGGCCCCTCTGGAGAACAGGCAGGGGACAATTGCACAAGGGAAGCTGTGGTGAGACAGGGCTCTGGTCCTGCCTGTGCGGACAGTCTGGAGCCCAGAGGTGCTGCTGTAAACCATGCCTCTAGGAGACCACTATTGCTGGCTGGACAGGGAGAGAGACAACCTGCCCCTGCTGGATATGCTTCTGCTACAGGTTCAGGTTTGCAGCAGGGTCAGGCCAGTGATGAGGACTTTGTTCCTAGACGACCTTTGACCCGATCTTGCACTCGTATGTCCTCTGTGTCCCTGATATCTGAGACAGGTAAGACTGAGCACCAAGCACATTTAATATCTGCCCACTAACTGTCACCTTAGGGGAGTGCAGCTGCTTTTTCTTTAAGCCCTATTTCCAGCAAACACTATCGGTATAGTACCTTTGATACCAAAAGTAACCCTTCAGACATGGTACCTAGACCCTAAGTCTGTTCAATGTTTCTACCTCAAACAGTACTCTATTAATGTGGGCGGGTTGTTGTCACTCACTGCTCCGTCCAGCACTCTCTGTATTATCTCCTCACCGGTGACACAGATGGAAGTCTGCACCTCAGTTATCATCCACAGAACGGGGTTGCACACCAACATTTTCAGGACAAAATAGAACAAGAGTAAGAGTTAGACTCCCTCCATGGGATGTTATGGGAATATATGCAGTTCACATAATCCGGTCGAAATTAATATAGTTTTTTAAATGCTTGAAGATCCACTCATTACTAAAAGTGTATGTCATCCAAGAGAGGGAATTGTGACATTCAGCAAAAATACATTGGGAAAAGACCGCAAGTACCAAAGAATGAAGAACTGCTACCCACTGATGGCAGTCAAAGGCTTTGAATTGGTTGCCAATTTCTCACAATGGTTGCCAACCTTACAACCTAGCCACTGTTACTGACAAGCCCCAATTTATCAGAGTAAAATGAAAGCAAGTGAAACTGAGCTAAATCAAGGAATCAGACGTAACTAAAAATCAACACATTATTCAACAAAGTTAATCATTTGCTTGCCCACCCCATTATAGTATAAATAATATGTTTTGGCTGATCGGTGTATATCCGTCTGTCTGTCTGTCCAATCCTTGTGAACAAGATATCTTCAAGAACACCACAATTGAATCTCTTTCAATTTAGCACACATGTCCACTTGGACTCAACAATGAACTGATTGGTTTTTGGTGGTCAAGGGTCAAAGGTCAAGGTTGTTGTGACCTTGCATCCATCTCATTCTCATTAACACAATATCTCAGGAACACCGTAAGGGAATTTCTGTAAATTTGACACAAATGTCCACTTGGACTGAAGAATGAACTGATTTAGAATTTTGTGGTTGAAGATCAAAAGTCAAGGTCAGTGTGACCTCACAAAATATGTTGTTGGCCATAACTCAAGAATTCATATGCTCATTATGACAAAACTTCACACAATAGGATAAAATAATGAAGTGATGACATTTATATCCAAAGGGTCAAAGGTCAGCTTCACTGTGACATCATAATGTTCTACATAGAACACTTTTCTGGTCATTATTCAATGTCATATCTCACGAACAGAAGAGGAGACATTAAGTCAGATACTGAATTGATGACACTAATCTTGGGTGTCCACCTTGAAACTGTGCTGATTATATAGATTGTCTGTGCTGTCTGGGGGGCGATGTGTGTCAACCATCCATGTTTTCACAGACATGGATGTAAACTGTAAGAGAACTTGACTGGTGCGCAGAGGTATACAACTGCGGGGCAGTAATTCTGGTTTATAATCAATTTTTTGTGTTTTACATGATAGAAGTTGGTTTAACGTGTCATTTCTACAGGGGTTATGTCCATAAATGAACACTGACAATGCTATGTAATGCAACTAAGGCAGTCATAAATGTGTTTTTACTCATACAATAGCGCTGTGTCTGTGCCAGCACTGCTAAACCTAAATGATTTCAATATCTCTAAAAAGAACTCTCTTAGGTCATAACCTCTGAGAAGGAGGCTATGTTTTTGGCTTGGTCTTGTTTTTTTGTCTGTCAGCAGGAAGAAGGAAGAACCTATAACATTTTGGAGCAGATGCAAATCGGGGTGGATACAGGTTATTTTTTGCTTTAGTTGCGAGATGTGGCATTTGACCTTGGCAGAGATCTGTGCTCTTTGACTGCCCTTTGAGTTTATCATTCCATTAATGTACACACATAGAAATTTGAGTTTTATTGCTTTAAATTTATGTTTTGGTGCTACCTTGAGTCAGTAGTTGCTTAATTGTATACAAAATCTGTTTGCAAGTAATGAGGAGTTCTTCTGCTAATGTGAAGAAGTAGTGTAAAGCCTTTCGTGTCAGCAGATAGAGCTCTCTGAAGTCTGATAAATGTCCTTAAGTGATGTCACTTGAGTCAGTGTTGGCTGGGTCTGAAGACTACTCGTGAAAATTAAAAAAGCTGAAGTGAGCTTTCTCTGCAGTCTGCTCCTCATCTCTGCCTGAGGCTCGTGACTTGAGGTCATACAGTGGCAAGAAAAAGTATGTGAACCTTTTGGAATGTCATGGTTTTCTGAATAAATTTGTCATAAAATGTGATCTGATCTTTATCTAAGTCAAGGGTATTGACAAATACAATGTGTTTAAAATAATAACACACAAAAAAACCTGATCTTTCATGTCTTTATTGAACACACTCATTCAACATTCAAAATGGCAGTGGAAAAAGTAATTGAACCCCCCCCCCCCCCCAGCAGCAATAACTTTAACCAGGCGCTTCCTGTAGCTGTGGATCAGACCTGCACATCGTTGAGGAGGAATTTAGAAATAGCCCATTCTTCCTGGCAGAACTGCTTTAGCTCTGTCAAATTCTTTGGACGTCTCATGTGTATGGCTCTCTTCAAATCATTCCATAGCATCTCTGTTGGGTTGAGGTCTGGGCTCTGACTTGGCCACTCCAAAAGGCGGATTTTGTTTTTCTGAAGCCATTCTGTTGTGGACTTGCTCCGGTGTTTTGGGTCGTTGTCCTGTTGCATCGCCCACCTTCTACACAGTTTCAGCTGACGTACAGACATCTTCAGATTATCCTGAAGAATTGTCTGATAAACTTGGGAATTCATCTTCCTCTCAATGATTGCAAGCTGGCCAGGCCCTGATGCAGCAAAGCAGGCCCAAATCATGATGTTTCATCCACCAAACTTTACGGTTGGGATGATGTTTTCATGATGATATGCTATGCCCTTTCTATGACAGATGTAGTGCTGTGTGTTTTTTCCAAATAGTTCAATCTTAGTTTCATCACTCCACAAAACATTTTGCCAATACCGCTGTGGAGTGTCAGTGTGCTCTTTTGCAAACTTCAGGCATGCAGCAATGTTGTTTTTAGTAAGCAGTGGCTTCCTTAGTGGTGTCCTGCAGTAGATACCCTGCTTGTTCAATGTTTTAAATATTGTAGACTCGTGAACAGAAATGTTAGCCAGTTTCAATGATGCCTTCAAATCTTTGGCTGTCATTCGGGGTTGTTTCTTTACCTCATTAATGAGTCTTCGTTGTGCTTTCGGTGTCATTTTGACTGGGCGTCCACTTCTTGGTAGAGTAGCAACAGTCCCAAAGTGTCTCCATTTGTAGACTGTTTGCCTAACTGTAGACTGGTGAATTTCTAAAGTCTTTGAAATCACTTTGTAACCCTTGCCAGCTTTATGTAAATCAACAATTCTTGATCGTAGATCCTCTGAAAGCTCTTTTTGGCAAGGCATGGCTCACATAAGCGTGTTCTTCTTGCGCAGAACAAATTCCAAAAGTTTGAGGGGTTTTTTTTAAGTCAAAGTAGCTGTAGTCCACACCTCCAAACTCATTGTCTTAACGAGACTCCAGGTGTGCTATAACCTGACTCCAATTAGCTTTAAGGTCATTAACTCAAGGGTTCCCATACTTTTTCCACAAGCACTCTGAGTTTTTTTTGTTATTCTCAATGAAGACATGAAAGATCAATTTTTTTGTGGTATTATTTTAGACACATTATATTTGTCAATACCCTTGACTTGGATGAATATCAGATCACATTTTATGACAAATTTATTCAGAAAACCATGAAATTCCAAAAGGTTCACATACTTTTTCTTGCCACTGTATTAGCCAATACTAGTATAGCCCACCTGAAAGTTCGACTGAACTGTCAGCAGTTCAGTTGCCTTGTGGGTAATGTTGGTACCAGGTTTCAACAAGGAAGAAGAACGTGGGATAAAAAGACGACATCTCTGGTTCTGCTGCATTGATTTTATTCCTTTTTTTTCTGTCTATCGTGAGTCTGATAATGTTCTGAGACTGCGATGCTAAATTGATGCTTAAAACTGTATTGCCTACAGTTGTTTTAAAATACTTAATAATTTGGCAGTAAAAGACACTTAAATGTTTAACACTGTCTTTGTGTTACTTAAGGTGATAGTTTTACTCTATGTTGTTAAGATCTTTCAAGAGCCAGACCTCGAGTTACAGTGAGGAGGAAACGAATGGCTGACAAATCAACCAGCACCTCAGACCCAGTCACTGAGGATGACCACGTACAGGTGCACGCACACACACACACAAACACAAACACACACACACTTTTTGTATGTTTTATATTGTATGTAGTTGCACTGTATATATTAAGTATGAAAATTTACTTAGTAAACCTGTTACAAAGTAAAATATTATTTTTTTCCTCCCCTGGGGGGAGCCAGAGTGTTGCAGCTGGGGCTCAGAGGTCCCTTCTTCCTTATTTGTTGTTCAGACAGTGGCACACCCTGGTTTCTGTGTTGTTTTTTTTGTTGTAAATGCTTTTAGTGGGAATTACTTATGCAAAATCAGTGTGATAAGAGTTCCACTGAGCCAGGATGCACATGTGAGAGGGTATTAATGTTGGCTTTAACAGCTGTATTTGTGTTTTCTTTCTCAGTATATTTAACATACTTTTGCTTGTGCAGATTTTGTCTCTGAAGAGTAAGAACCTGGTGGGCATCACTCTGACCAACTGTGGAATCACTGACCTGGTCCTCAAAGACTGCCCCAAGATGATGTTCATTCATGGTAACAGACAGACAAGAACTCTGATATTTGATGACTCATATGGATGTTTTTCCTCATTTGTCCTTTTGAATTCTTTGAACTAAAAATGTGTTCGTAATTTTCAACTACCATTTGGGAAAAATGGAGTATTGGTGCTATTGTTGCTCTGATTATTTTTATACTTATACATTTTTTTTTTATGTTGAATTTGTGAGGTAGGTACTAGAGAAGGAAGTCTAGCCGACAGAAAAAGAAAATGACCCCTATTGACTTTGAAGGATCAATATAATAATGTAGGGATGCACTGCAAAATTCTGAACCAATACCAATATTTGAAATCAGTATCAGTATCAGTATCAGCTATTGGCCATATTTTGCCAGTAGCTGATACTGATGCCAATGTTTTTTGTTGTTATTGTATGTTTTGTTTTTGTTTTGTTTTTTTTAATTAACCTTTTGTGCCAGGGAAACAACAGATTCTTCATTATAAAAAAAACTGTTTTAAAATCATTCAACCTTCATTACACTACCTTTTGAATGAGCAAAATTACACATTTATGAAACATCCTTTAATATAACCTTTAATAAAGAAAAATATCAAACCCCTTTATAGTATAAATTAAACACTAATTCCCTCTCTAATGTCTTTTTTAAATTGCTTTTAAGATGTCAACACATTTCTCTTACAAACAACTTATTTAAGTTTCTCACCAAAAACTACATTTTACATAATTTTATTTGAGCACATCATGAAAACATTACAATATACCTTCTCTTAATACTAATTTTTACTGAATAGAGCTTGAACACATCATAATCAGCTGTTCACCAACTAGCTAACATTAAGTAGCTGCCAACAACTAACATTAGCTAGCTCTCCTGCTGATGTCAACACCGGTTTGTTGTTCACAATGGAGCAAACTCAGGGAAACAATAAGGTGTGTTCCCTGATGCATCAATAGTGCTTTCATCCCAACAGCATCCCGGGGAAGATCTCTGTTTGTTCCAAACACATTTTCCACTGTATTGTTTCTGGGACAAAATAATGCTGACTTTCAGCCTCCGCAAAATTCGATAGGTGGATGGCAGTCAACAAGGCAAATATCAGCCGATACCAGTTTTAGGCCAATAAATCGGCTTGTCCAAAACCAGTGACTGATTTCCTGTTTGGCAGCAACACAGTCTTTGATTGTATAGTGTAAGGGTTAGTACTGATAGCTCAGATAACTCAGTGAAGCAAACTTATTTGTAGACCTGTGTTGGTGTAAATAAAACGAGGGGAGAACACTTCTTCCTTCAGCCCATGGTTTTGTGTGAAAGTGGTGTAGTCCTCTAGATACATCCAGTTGAAAAACATTCAGTCTCAAACTGCTTTGTCTCTTTGTGTCCCCTCTCTTTTTGTAGCCACCAGATGTCGAGTTTTGAAGCAGCTGCGAGTAGAAAGCGCACCCATAGTGAACAGGTTTGATTACGCTCAGTGTAAGAAGCTGGACATGGAACAGGTCCTGGATCAGATACTGAGAATGCCTCCTGAGAGGAACCGCATCATCTACATGCGTCCTATGCACCAGGTTGGTCATCTGTGATGTCACCTCTGTTGCCTTAGAAATAGAGTCCTAACTGGAGTCCTATCAGGAGAGCTGGATACCACACAGCCACTCAGCCTTGCTGACAATTTGTGTCAGTGGCCCACTGTGGTATTGCAACAGAAAAATCCCCTGCAGCTCAAAAGTATTTTCTTCATAGACCTCCATAATAAAAGAGACATCTGTATAACTGTTGACAGGACACCTCAAACTGCAAACACACCCAGTTATTACTCTTTCTATTATGAATTCACAAATGATAAAGGTTTTACATTAGTGAAATGTTCCCAAAGCCTTAAAAAAAGGAGCAGCCTTTGGGGCTTAAAAATGTTGCCAACACTGAGGCGGCAAAAATTGCAGTTCATCGAATGGAGTCAATCCCCATATACCCACATGTTGAAATGGCCAGCTTTCCAGCAGAAATAAATATGTTTACAACCTGGTACAAAAAATGGTTTTGGTCCCTATAGCTGTTTCCCCCTTCATGACAACTGTGCAGAGGGTGAATTTTTATATAACTTACCTGTTTACATTTTTATTAAGGCTTAAAATTACACGTCATCAAGTGCAGGGCCGCTTGATTGACAGGCTGTCTGCTGATGGTGTCCTCAACCTGTCAGTCAAATCCACTCGTCACTGCTCTACAGCTCCACCCTCTCACCCTAATATGGTCACTTCTGGCTCAAAAAAAATGTGAGTCCACAAACCTGTGGGTGATACTACCATAGCAACATCCATTATTTTTTACAGTTTATGCCTGAAAAGCAATTTTAAAGAGGACCTGTTCTGCTCATTTTAAGGTTCATATGTGTATATAAGGTTTCTACGAGAACATGTTTACATGCTTTAACTGTCTGTACTGGAACACCTGTATTCACCCATTGTGTGAGACACTCCAGTTAGCACCTGTCTCTTGAAGCCCCCCTCCTGAAAAAAGCCCAGTCAGCTCTGATTGGCCGGTGTGTCTGGGTTTTCCGCATCTTGATGTCTTTGCACCGTCATTGCAGACAGGAAATGACTGTAACAAAGCAAATGAGTTTACATGTTTCCCTGATATTAGCATGTAGCTACATGCAGCAGTGTAGATTAAACAATGTAAACATTTGGAGTAGCATGCAAGGAGCAGATGATTATGTAAAGAAATCAGGCACACAATTATGTAGTGTGATACTGTTGCCAGAGTAGAAAGAACTGTTGGTAAACGGAGTGTTCAGAACAGTAGTTAACCTAAGGTTTTTGCTCAAATTACTTACAAATTACTTGCACATATGTGTACCTCATTATTTGAAACTTAGGTCATGTGTGATATGAACATCCTTTATTCTAACTCTATTTATATGACACAAAATACAAGAGCATAATAGGTCCCCTATGAAGTGTGTGATGTCAGCCCAGTGTAATCTTTATAGGCAGAGCGTGAACAGGGGAAATGTGGCTAGGTGAGCAGTTTTAAGTTTTCAAGTGACTGGGAGCCATCTTTGATTCTTGTTCCAGTAATATATCAATGAAACTAATCTACAGTGTACTAAAGACATGTCAGTATCTGTTAACCAGGCATGACAGTGAACATTTAGATCATAATATATGCTGCCATCACTCATCAGAATTAAAGTTAAATTCAGACATACTTTGTGTTCACAGAAAAAAAACTGTAGTTATGCAGATATTTTTTATTAGTTATTTTGTGCCAAAATCCAAAACTGCAGTGTCAATATAATTACAGATTTTTGTTTCTATACTGTTAAGGCACGCTACAAAATTTCTGCATTTGGCTCATACTGAAAGTCCTCCAGCAAAGATAATTTTTTTAGGCTTTTATTTTTAAACAACAATGGAAGGCTTGAGTAACAATCACTGAGAATCCAGCTGATTTTGTTTTTCAGCCAGTTGGACATTTTTTGTTCCTTTTGATCCGTGGAGCCGCAAATAAAGATAAATTCTCCTACATGTGAAGCAAAGCTAGGCAAACAATTCTCCATGCTTTCCATAATGCTCAAATAATTCTCCTTCTACCTGATTGTCTCGTTTCTCTTCCCTTGTTCTTTTTGTGCTAACTGGAACACTCCTCTCTCTCTCTGTGCTCTCCTCAGATTGACTCAGTAGCATTGGAGCGTCAGCTCTTCCAGGGGCCCTATCCCTATCACATCGCTATAGTGCACGAGTTCAGCAACCCTCCAAATATACGCAACAAGGTTCGCATTCGCAGCTGGATGGACACCATAGCCAACATCAGCCAGTGAGTAATGCTAATATCAGGGGCATTCCATAAGAATTTGGTCACTTTCTGACATCACTCTGTTTGATTTGAACTAATTTTTTACTCTGTTAACCTATATTATAGAGTGTTAAGGCCCAGACACACCAATTGTGTCTTGGTCAAAAAGGTGCACATGAACACACAGAACCAACAGCCAACAAACATGTATGTTTTGGCCAGCGTGAAAAGACCCCCCCCCCCCCCCAATGCCATAGTTAGCTAATTAGCACATTAACAACACAATCCAATGTTGAAAGAACAGATGGTATTTACCGCACACCAGTGAACAATAACACAAACCATCAGGAAACATTTGTGCTTAAGAGCTCAGTGGCTAAAGAAAAACAATCTATCCTTGTGTAACAAGTTATTTTCGATCTCACTCCCTCTTGGCTTTAGCTCTTTGTTTACTTTCCTTGTTGAGCTGAGCTGCCTATCAGAGATTTTATTTGCTGACTGGTTCCCACTATTGCTGATGCCAAAAAAAAGTCAACTAGCACTGACAAGGGCCAACAGTGCGGGACACATTGTACCAATTAGGGCGGCAGACACCAATGGCCCAACTTTGACTGACGGCCAGCCGTTGGCTTGGTGTGTCAGGGTCCTTGGAATGTAGCTTGATTGACCAGAATGGCAAACCATTCCAGGGACCCTCAAATTTGACCCATATCAGGCTCCCCACTCCCACCGAAGACAAATATATTCTTTAAAAAATAAACATTACAGTACGTTACTAACGAAAAGCTTACAAACAATGTTATCCATAATTTCAGTACTTTGATCCAAAATAAATAAATATGCAAGTTTGGTGATTTTCGTAAATGATTTGAGTAAAGACATTCAAGGAAAAAACATTCATATGTGGATGACACTGTCATTTACATGCATGCTCCTTCCACAGTGCAGGCGGTGCAAGAGCTTTAGACTGCATTTCAGTCATTACAAACCGCTCTGCTGAGTTTAAAACGCTCAGAAAACAAAGTTCATGGTCTTCTCAAGAGCTTGCTCACAGTTGCATGATGATTTTAGCATTTTCACTTCTGATGGTAAATCCACTGAAAACTTGCCCTCGTACAAGTAGTTGGGTATATGGATAGATGACAGCCTTTTTTTTAATGTACATATTGCTGCTCTAGTTAGGAAGCGTAACGTAAAGATTGGCTTTTATTTTAAAAATAAGGCTTGTTTTAGTTTCAGTGCTTATAAAAACTTTGTGCAACCTGCCTTTCTGTCTGTAATTGATTACAGTGAAATACTGTGTATGAAGGCAATCTCCTCCATTTTACGTAGCCTTGATTCAGTACATGCATCTCAACATTTGCAAAGTCCTTTACTCACCACTGCATTCTTTATGATTTGGTGAGTTGGACGTCACTGACCACTCACAGACAACAGCACTGGCATGTATTTATCTATAAAGCAATATTGGACAAACTTCCAGCCTACCTCTGCACCCCTCTGTGTGTCAGCTCTGGTAGGGACCAGCTACGCTCCTCCAAGTGGTTACTTTTAATGGACCCTGGGTAGTCTGCACCTTGGATATGGAACCATCTGCAAAAATAGAGTCGTGCTTGTTTTTCTTGAGGCCACTATGTTTGAAGTCATTTTATTGTGGACCTTTTTATTGTATGTTGTATTTGTTGCATTTTAATGTGTTGTGATTGGCTGCTACCTTGGCCAGGTCTCTCTTGTAAAAGAGATTTTGAATCTCAATGGGACCTCCTGGGTAAATGAATGTTGAATAAAAAATAAAACCTTCATTTGACAAAAAATTAGGGATGCACCGAATATTCGGTAACCGAATATATTCGGCCGAATATTGCAAAAAAACACACATTCGGTATTCGGTGGAATAAGTTAAAAGCAAGGCCGAATAATAGCGGCGTTTTGATAACGCAGTCAAACGGCGTGCCGTGACGGGCGGAATAAAATGACAGTAGTGTGGCGATCCATCCATCACGGCACTCGCATTTGCGACTAAAAATAGTTTTGAGCGAGCAAAATAGGCTTAAATCATTCAGTGCGCTGTGCGAGCAGCCTACATATTTCAACCAGCAGCAGAAAAGAAAGGCGAATCCCACCGATTGTGGGTTGAACGGGGGTGACAGACACAGACAGTAACGTTAATGTATTCCTGTCAAATGCGGCGGCCATCGGCTTACCGGGCGACGGAGAAGTCCTCTTCTTGGTGTCATGACTGCCCAGAAGTACCTGAACAGCTGAGCCAGCCTAACACAGGTATGTGACGTGTCAGAGGAGAAACGAGCCGTTCACATTTCTCTCTTTCTGGCAGTAAAGGCCCACAAACCTCACCGCACTTTAGGGACTGTTCATTACTTATGAAGGGACTGTCAGGGGAGGAGGGTGGCTGGTTGATTTTTATTTAATTTATTTATTTTATTTTGATCCCCCCCTATGTTAATCACTTATTGATGCTGTTTTTGAAGTATGAATAAGTCAATAAGTAATTTATTCCATTGAAATATCATTGATGTATTATAGAAAAGTGATTTATCTTTTAATAAATGACAAAAGGCACATCTGCCTCATTTTCGCTGTGGTATCGTGATACTACTCAGAACCATAATATTTTCATTGGTATCGCACAGTGGGTCCCAATTTTGATAACATGACAACACTAATCTGGAGGGGGTTCATCTGCAAAAACTAATGAACAACTAAACAATGATATTTGGTACTCGGTATTCGGCCAAGTGTTTAATAATATTCGGCTTCAGCCACAAATTTTCATTTCGGTGCATCCCTACAAAAAATGCATAAACTCCCTGCTATTGCTTGAGCAACAACAGACAGTTCAACACATGGGGTCAGGGATCGACCCACCATACATCTGTCCATCCGTCCCATCCTTGTGAACATGATATCTGAAGAACGCCTGAAGGGAATTTCTTCAAATTTGGCACAAATGCCCACTTGGACTCAATGATATACTGATTGGATTTTGGTGGTCAAAGGTCAACTTCACTGTGACATCATAATGTTCTGCACTAAAACACTTTTTTGGCCATTACTCAATGTCATATCTCAGGAATAAAAGGGAAAATATTTGGTCAGATACTGAATTGATGACACTTATCTTGGGTGTCCACCTTGAAACTGTGCTGATTGTGTAGATCTTCTGTGTGCTAAGCATCTATGTTTTCACAGACATGGATGTAAACTGAAAGAGGAACTTGACTGGTGCACAGAGGCATATAACCACAGGGCGATAATTCCAATTTTAAGGGAGTCTGGGGACTTTGTCCCTGGCTGATTAAAGACTATATTGCAATTACTGTTTAGATGGGGAAATCACTTGAACTTTATAGTGTGTTCACAAACTTCTACTGCTCATCTTGGTAGGTAATGCCTAGGTTACACTGCACAACTTTAGCCCTGATTTCCTACTCACAGATAGTTTTTGGAAAACTGGTACTCAAATTGGTGCTTGAGCGTTGTGTGAACTGTTCAAAGGCACAAGCCGAGAGGCATCTCAGACATTCCCTGGATATTTAGCGTGCTAAATATCTGGACCTGCAGTCTAATGCAATCCAATACAACTGCTCTGCCATGAAGTGCTTTTTATGATGCCTATAATGTTCAGATTTTATTGACACCGTCATAGAGGTGTTGGTTAAATTTTGTGTTTTGGAAATGAGTTAGTAATGGTGTTGTATTGGATTGCATTATACTGAGACATTGGATGTAGCAAAACAAAAAGCCCCAGAGAAAGTCAAATGAAGCCTGTTTGATTAAACTGTGATCAGCACATTAATAACAGTGGTGGCAAAAATTAGTTTTTCTGATGTGAGTCCACAAAATAACCAGTCCACTCAGAAATCTATAATCACATGAAATTCAATGAGCAAGTATGAGGCCAAATGTTAACTTGAAGTTGATCATGAACTGATCTCTGTATGTCTATGTCTCTTTCAGAGAGTTGATTAAGTATGAGTTCTTCCCAGAGGCCACCAGGACAGAAGAGGATGTGAAGAAGTATCCCAAATACCCCTGGGGTCGTGACATCTATACACTGGAGGGTAATACTGTCAAACCTACATTAATTCTCACAGATTTGTAGTTTAACACTGAAGGGAGACATTAGCCAAACATTTTATCTGTGTTGTAGCCATTAACACATTTTGATTATGTCCGGTCTACTCTTAAGCCTCATTTCCACCAAACACTTTGGGTATAGTACCTGTTGAACCAAAAGTAACCCTTCAGACATAGTACCTAGACCCTAGGTCCATTTAGCATTTTAAACACAAATAGTACTCTTAAATGTGGGTGGGGTTGTTCTCACTCACTGCTCCGTCCATCACTCGCTGTATTTCCTCTACACCAGTGACACGGATGGAGGTCTGCACCTCTTTGTCATCCACAAAATGGGTTTGCAAGCTGACATTTTCAAAACAAAAAAGAAAAGCCAAGATTGAGTGTTTCTCTCGATGGGATATTTAAAAATAGCAGGTTTGTGCATTTCGTCCTTCTCAGGCAGGCACAGGGGTTTAGTGTTGCCGGAGTCCACAGGAATGATGCGCCGCAAAGCTTTAATCAACACAAGTGAGGATTAGAATATATGCAGTTCACATAATTCGGTTGAAATTAATATATGTTTTTAAACACTTGAAGATCCACCCATTACTAAAAGTCTGTATCATCCAAGAGAGACAATAAAAACTCATAGAATGGTCAAAGTTGTCACATTGAAATTTAAGATGTGTTGATGGATTTACATTGTCAACTCCTGCATTGAGTAACATTACAAGTAAACATTCCACCTAAAAGTTGCTGGCAGTCGGCCCAGTGAATCAAGTTGTTTTTTGTTCAGACTACAGCTGCTGCGAGAGGCAGCAAAACATCCTTTCATTATATAGTTATAGTTTACTGATGTATGTTAGACTTGCCACGGTATGAACAGTGGTTACATAAGCTTCAAAACCAACCACAACTCAGCTCTGACCAAGAGTGACTGTTTTTATTGACCAGTCAACAGATTGCAGTGTTTCTCGCTCCCCAAAAGAGAGGTGGTTCCATCGGTACCATCCACAACTTTTCACAGTGGAAACGGAAAAAAATGCATACCGAACTGAAGCTAGCCGTACTGTACTACTTGGTGGAAACAGGGCTTTAGTGTTGTTGGAATTTAACTGAAACAGTGACTCAAGTTTTGAAGTTTAACTTGAGGGTGTTTGCGGCCACATTAATTGAACAGTGTAGAAATCATTACCTGTGTTTTGTGGCAAACTGTAGCTTTTAACTGTCGTCTGTGATTGATTGTTCAGGAGTAGTGGATGGGGCTCCCTACAGCATGATAACAGACTTCCCCTGGCTGAGGACTCTGAGAGCAGCTGATCCCAACAGCTACGCCCGCTATGACTTTGAGGATGATGAAAGCAGTGAGTGTAGTCAATACATCCATTTATACTACCGGCACATACACCATGTGGTTTTTCCTTAAATGGGCACAATGCTTGGTATTTACAAGTCATTGCAAGACAAAGCCTGATCATATAAGCACTTGAAATGTTTTCCTCTGTGTTGTGTCGTGTGTTAGCCACCATCTACGCACCCCGGCGTAAAGGCCAGCTGTCAGCTGACATCTGCATGGAGACCATTGGGGAGGAGATCTCAGAGCGCCGACAGAGCAAAAGAGGAGTGTTTCAGAGAGTGGTGGTGCTCTTCCTCCATCACTGTGATACACCAGGAGAACCTGTGGACGATGACTACATCTGAAGACCACAAAACACCTCTTTGTTCGTCACATCAGGAGGGATCCCGACAGATGACAGTCCTGCTGCAGCACTGCCTGATCTTCTGAATGCATATGCTTTTTGATGGTTTTATTTGGAGAAGAGACAGATGTTTAGTATGGTGGGATGAGGTTCACAACAGCGCTGAATTTGTTATTATTTGAGCAAAATCTTGAAGCATGTATAAGCGCCTTAGAAACAGAAATTCTCAAATAAAAGCAGAGCAAAAGAAGAGTCACTGAGATGGTGGAAATAATGGCTAAAATGGTAAATTCAGCAGAAGATACTTTTGTCATTGAGTGAATGAAACCATTTGCTTTCAACATGGCATGGTTAGGAGTAAAGGCCTGTCTCTAACAGTCCTGTTCCAAGTAAAGGCCATTATTAAGAGCATAAGCCCAGCTAGTGTTTTAAGCTGCTTGTCTTCGATCATGCAGAGAAGGATTCTGCTGTAGTGTTGGTCTGATCTCTCACCTGTCCGCTGCCATGGTCTGCCTACCTCTGTACCACACAAGACCAGTCACAGACAGAAATGGCCTTAGACAGAAATGTCCAAAAAAATATGCTTTTAATTCAGTTTTAAGTCATCCTTTGGATATTTTTTGGTGGTTCTGGATGGTGGATGGTATGTGTCTTAGCTTTGTGTTTTACCTCCGCAAACACCAAATGGTGAAGAGACAAAAATATGTTGGAACAGTTGCAGATTAACTTCCCTGCAGTTGATTTTCGTACAAAGTGTCAGTCCTCTTTGCACTAAAAGCCCCGCTGCCAGGGAACTTCTCTTGGAAAATGATGGATCAGATGACGGCTCACAGTCTCACAGCCAGCCTGACCTGGACACAAATCACAATACCCCCATGCAAATATAACATGCCTACATGGCTTTGTCATGTTGAGATGCTATAGTTAACACTGACTGAGCAGCATAAAGGGAGCTGATGCACATTCTAAAACAAGCTTTGTTTCAGTCGATCAGTTCTGACCTTTCCCAGTGACCAAACAAAATGCTTTTGATTGAATAGTTCAGCCTTGGTCAGACGTCCCAAAAATGTAAGAATGAACATGTGATGCTACGTTTAGTTGCTCTCCTCTCTCTTTCATCATCATGATAAACTGGGCAACCTAATCTCCAAAAAAGTTGGATGTATGTATGTTGGCGAATGTTGGCATTGTACGTTTCTGCAAACCATGGACATGTTACATTTGGACCTTATCATGTGGCAGCACTGTGGTTAACATGTGGTTAGGGTTAGGCACAAAAGAAACAGTTATGTTTTGGCTTAAAATTGGTTTCAGGGAAACTCTCCCCACTGGAAAAACAGCCACAGGTCGCTTAAAAAAAAAAGTAAAGACTCGTTAGACCGCAGCTTGGCAGGTATCTCACCATGTGACACACAATCCACCATCCCCTCCATTTCCCAATCCCCACCTCATACACTACGTCATATTAGAAATGTTGATATGATGCATATATTACGTGCAAATGTAACGTTTGTGGTGTCCAGAAATGTACAATGCAAACATTATCTTCTGGTGACTGGGCTGTACTGGCAGGTCCTGGTGTGTTAGAGAGCAATGTACAACTTAAAGTTAATGTGCACAATTGCATAAACAGAGTGACCACAGGAAACCAGAGTGTTGTTGAAGTGCTTTTCAAAGCCAGTATTTTGGTTGTCAGCGATGTCCAGTCACAGTCAGGATGTTTCATAGTAGAAGTACATTTATGTATGATGTTGCCACTGAACATATCTGGTTTGCTGATTAAGCAGATAATGAGGCTATATTTTGTTCTTGACACTTTTTGTTTTAGTAGGTTTGTTTTTTCTTATTTCCATCTCCCTACTGGGATTGTAAAAGAAGAATGGGTCAGTGTTGTTTACCTGCATCCATACAGTATATATCACTTGGATATAGCTGATGACCATCAGGCAAAGGGAAGAAATTGGAACAATATAGCAAACAAAGACACAACAAATCTCTCTAAGAGAGAGCTAAGTGCTCTGCCTGTCCCCTGATGCTTATCTTCTTATCCAAGTCTTTGTGATGGCCTTCATGGAGGGAAATCAGACTGCTAGATTGAAATTGTATATAATATAACAGATGGAGCTACTCCTAGTTCTAAAATAGTGTGGAGTGTGCCCTTGAGCTGAACTGAACCATCAAACTGATTTTTTTTTTTTTGTACTTATTTCCATTGCTACAGATTCCTACCCTCCAAAAGGTGCTGCATTACTTTTTCCTCTAGCTTCTCAAAGGAATCCGATTAGTTGTCTTATAAAGGATTTCATTGGTCATGTACAGTAAATGGACAGCTCTGCCCTGTAGGACTGTAAAGACAGTGGATAGAACTGTCTTGGTTCAGGTTGTGGGTATTCCTCAAATATGGAAAAGGGTTTGGGTTCAACAAGATTAACTAATGGTGAATGTCGACTGTTCAAGGAGGTGAAAATTCTTTTTGCAGGCTCAATGGACTGAATATGATGCGAGTCCAGCCTTCTGTTTATGTATTGACAACTGTACAGATGTCATGGATGACGATATGCTTCCATGGTGTTTATATGTTTATAATGAAAGAACAAGACTATTTCACATACTGAAAATAAAATTATGGAAAAAAGCTTTTGTTGTCTTTTTTGTTAAATGCTCTCATTGTCCGTTGTTACATGTTCTCATTTGTCTTTGTTGCTTCATGTCCTCATTTCTAATTCTCGACCATTGAGCGTATTTTATTATTATTATTATTATTATTAAATTCTAATATTGGAATGAAAATTGTGCCCTGTGGTTCTAGAGGAAGATGCTAGCAAGACATCAAGGTTTATCTTTATCCTTTAATGATATCAAATACACTGTGCAAAAAGGGTAATTTGATTATTATTTGTTGATATGGTGAATTAAGTCAAGGGTATAGAGCCACAGAAAGCAGTAATGTAATGAAGTAATACTTTGTTACAATACTTATGTGTTTTGGGGAGTATCTGATAAAAATGAAAATTAAGCCATTATCTACTCACACATATGCCGATGGAGGCTCAGGTGAAGTTTTAGAGTCCTCACAACACTTTCAGAGATCCCAGGGGAGAGGGGGTAGTAACACAACTTCACCTAATGGAGGTTTACGGCACTCCAGATTCAAACATCCAAAACGCATAATTGAAACCACAAAGTATCGTATGGTTACACTGTAACCTTGGTTCTCTGAGTGAAGAGACTATCTCTCCACTCAGTTACATATTCCATATGTACGGGGTATGATCCCCCTGCTTGTCAGGGTACGTGGATAATTCTTTAAGACACACCGGCTTGCCCAGCCACGCCCCATTGCGTAGCTATAAAGCGCCTGCGCTGGCGTGTAATCACTGATAGTTTTGATTGAAACGTGTCTCCGAGCAGCCTAAGGATTGGAGAGATAGTCTCTTCACTCAGAGAACCAAGGTTACAGTGTAACCATACGTTCTCTATCGTCTCAAGACTATCTCTCCACTCCGTTACATATTCCGTATGTACGTGGTAGATCTTTAAGACACCCCGTGAGGAGACGGTGCAGCCCACAATCCCACACCACAACGTGCAACAATCGAACTATTTACAAATGTACACTATATACAACTCACAGGAGTAAGCCCCGCAAGGCGCTAGGGCCGCCCATGGGAGGGAAGGACTGCCCGGGAAGCCCGCAAGACGCAAGGCTAACCCAAGGGGGACAGGTAGGGGCCCCGCAAGACGCAAAGGCCATCCTGTTCACGGAGCAGCTGCTCACTCAGCCCACAAGACGCAAGGCTGAGGGGGAGACAAAAATGTCTGACCTCCGGACAGCCTGAGTGCGCCGAATGTACTCTGTCAAGGCCCTGACTGGGCACAGAGCAGACTGGCCCTGCTCAACCTCCTCGCCAGCACTAGGAGAGGAGAGAGACCTAAGCTCGACTGACTGAGACAGATGGAACTCAGTAAGGACCTTAGGCAGGAAGGCTGGGTTGGGGCGGAGAACCACACTCAAGCCATCTGGGGAGAACCGACAACAGTCACCATGCACAGACAAGGCATGGACTTCACTCACTCTTCTCGCCGAAGTGACGGCGAGCAGAAAGGCGGTTTTCATGGAGAACCACTTCAAATCGGCCCCCCGAAGGAACCGGGAAATGAGGACACAAGTCCTCCGTACTCAGTGCAAACTCGCCGGTACGCACTGCCTTGATTGCTGCCACCAACCCTCGCAGTGTTACAGCAGCTTTCTGTGCCTCAAGCTGGGACTGCAAGAACCGCAGGATCTCCTGAGCCGGAGCCAAGTAGGGGTCCACCTGCTGAGACTCACACCAGTTGGTAAACACCTGCCAATGGTGTGAATAAGCAGCCCTTGTGGATGGTGCCCATGCATGCTGCATTGTCGCCACCACAGGCTCTGGCAATCCTAAGGCCAGGAGCCTTTCCCTCTCAGGGGCCAAGCCACCAGCCTGAGCCCCGCTGGAAAGGGGTGGAACAGGGCTCCGCTCGCCTGGGAGAGCAGGTCCCTCCGGTGTGGGAGCTCCCATGGGGGCCCGTCCAGCAGAGGCGGAATCGCCGAGAACCACAGCATGTGGGGCCACATAGGTGCCACCAATATAAGCTGCACCTGCTCCACCAGAACTCTTCAGAGAAGAGGCTGGAGAAGAGTGAAGGGAGGAAACGCGTAGAGCAGAACCCGGGGCCACGGATGGGCCAGAGCATCCCACCCCGAGGGGGGATCGTCGTTCCTCAGGGAGAAGAAGAGCGGGCAATGTGTCGACTCCCTGGACGCGAACAGGTCGACCTCTGCCCTGCCAAAGCGGTGCCATATCTCGGAGACCACCTGAGGGTGGAGTCTCCACTCCCCCGGCTGGGGCCCTCTTCTCGACATGATGTCTGCCGCGGAGTTCAGTGCCCCTGGCACATGCACGGCCCTGAGTGAGAGGAAGAGCGGGTGAGCCCACTGCCACAGAGTGGTTGCCAACTTGCACAGGGCAGGGGAGCCCAGGTCCCCCTGCCTGTTGATATATAATCGGCCGTCACTGTGCTATCGGTGCGGACAATGACGTGATGACCCCTCAGCCTCGGCAGGAAATGACGCAGAGCGAGGAGAACTGCCCTCAGCTCTAGGACATTTATGTGCTGACATAGCAGCCGGCCGATCCAGACACCGATGATGCCGCGGCCTTCGTGTACTGCGCCCCACCCCGAGGAGGATGCGTCCGTGTACACCAGCTGGCGATAGACCACTGGACCCAGAGCCCGGCCTACTGCGATATTTGCTGGGACCTTCCACCACTGGAGGGCCCTGTGGAGCCTCCGAGAGACTACCACTTTGGTCTTGTGGGACATCTGAGGGCACAGACCCAAGCCCAGCAGTCATCTCTGTACAGGCTGCATGAGCAAGAGGGCGAGGGGGACTACCTGCACCGTGGCTGCCATTAAGCCCATGAGGCGAAGGCAGAGTCCTCAGTTGACCCGAGCATGCAACTGGAAAAGGGCGAGGCAAGTTCTGAAAGCCTGCTGCCTCTCCAGGGTCAACGTAACCATCGCCCTCCTCGAGTCCAGGACCATCCCCAGGAAGGTCGTCAACTGGGAAAGCTCTTCTTGTAGTTCAGGCGCAGACCTAGGCGCTGAACGTGCTCCAACAGCAGGGCAACGTGGTGGCAGCACTGCTCTTCTGAGACTGCACAGACCAGCCAGTTGTTGAGGTAATTTAGGATCCTGGTTCCTCTCTGCCTCAGGGGGGAGAGGGCTGCATCCATACAGTGAGTGAAGGTTTGGGGTGCCAGAGAAATACCGAATGGCAGCACCCGAAACTCGTACACCCTGCCTGCGAAACCGAAGCACAGGAACCGCCAGTGACCCCTCCAGATGGGTATCTGGAAATACGCATCCTTGAGGTCTATGGTGGAAAACCAGTCCCCTGCTGTGACCGCCTGTCTCACCCTGGAAACTGTCAGGAACTGGTATCGCAGGGGCCGGAGATACCTGTTGAGCCCCCTGAGGTCCAGAATCGGGCGAAGCCCCCCGTCCTTCTTTGGGGTCAGGAAGTAGCAGGAGAAAAACCCGGCCTGGTGATCCCCAGAGGCCACCTCCCTTATAGCTGCCTTCTCCAGGAGGGTGGACAGCTCCGCCTCCAAAACTAGTCTCTGCTGAGGATCGCTCACCGTTGTAAAGGTGGGTTTCCTTGTTACAGGTAGCCGGCGTGAAAACTGGATATGGTATCCATGGGTCATGGTTGAGACCACCCATGGGTCCGCTCCCAGGGCCAATCAGGCTGTCTCGTGAGAGGCAGGCAGAGGAGACAGGTTGGCCAGGGCCTGGTAATTGTCAGGATGGCGGGGGGCGCTTGGAGGACCCCATGGCCTTAGTGGGTGGTCCTCTCCTTCTGGCCTGTCGGCGGTACAGACCCCGCCGTGATGCGTCCAACTGGAGTCTGAGATCCCCTTGACCGCTTGTCGAGGCCTCTGGAGTTGGTGCCGGCTGAGACCGAGACGGCCTTGACTCCCTAGAGCCTGTGACACTCCTGGCAAGGCCCCCTGAGACCTCCTTCGCACAGCGATGGCTCTCCTGTGCCTGCTGCATCAAGGCGGTAGCATGAGGCCCAAACATAGCAGTGGGTTCCACCAGCACTTTAAGCAGGCAGTCTCTATCCCCCTGCTGTAGCTGGGATTGAGACAACCACAAGTGGCGCCTAACCACCCAGAAGGAAGCCAAGGCACTGCCTGCTGCCCCAGCCTGCTTCTTCATCACCGAGGAGAGGCATGAGGAGGCCATCTGCAGCTCCTCACCTACACCGGTGTCATCCTGAACCTGACGAGACAAGTCGCGGAGGTAAAGGGACAGAATAACCCCGGTATTGGCCAGCCGAGTCTGCACCGCCATAGCCTTATGTAGCTTAGTGAGCAGATTATCCATAACCCTGCAGTTCTTGCTGGAACAGGTGGCATTACCAAGGATGGAGCTGGAGGGAGAAACTAGTGGGGTGAGGGTTTGGTCCACTGGGGGAAGTGGCCCACAGGCAATCTGGTCCCTGTCATGCACATTGGAAAACCGGTGACATGTCACAGACCACTTGTGAGCAGCCGCATATCCATATGCTCCTCAAACCTAGAGGATGCAGCTTGGGGGTTCTCAGGGAGGGCAACGCCAGAGCCCGGGAAGCCCTGTTAATCACCTCCTCAAAACGGCGGGCTAACTCCCCTCTTGTTACTTCGCCCACTGTCTGCTGTGCACAAGAGAGGTCATTGTCCTCAGAGGAAAAGACGGTTTCAACATCCAAATCCTCCTCCTCAGCATCCTCTTCCTCCCTGCCTAACTCTGAAGGCGGGGGAAGGAAGGAGCTAAGCGGAGGTCGGACCACCATAGGCTGAAGAGGAGGCAATGAAGCCTGCCAGGCTCCTTAACACTCCCTTCCCTCCGAGGCTGCAGCCATTCTCCCAGTTTTCTGCCTAGGCCCTTCAGAAACATGGGAGCCTGCACGCTTTGCAACAAAAAAGCGACAACGAGCCTCCCTAGTACATGCAGGCAAAATAAAACAGTCCATGCATGACTGAGGATTCTCCTTAGAAACCAGAGCATGCTCATGTCCCAAACATAGTACGCAGCTATCATGCCCATCCTCTAGGGGCAT